GCAATAGAGTCGATATCACCCCAAGAGCCTCAGGACTCGGTGTGGATTTGAGCGTTGAGGTTGAAAACAACGTCGGCGGATCAAGCTGTATGACGAGCATGTTTGCCAAGGACAGCCATACAGCCGTAAGCTGCCTCTGGCATGCAAGACATACGATCTCAAAAATCGGAGCTGCAGGAAGCGAAAGCAGGGTGATATCCGATGGCAAAGAAGTTATCGAACGGAAAAAGTCACTCAATGCCTTGTTCAGTGTCAGCCGAATGATGCATAAAAATACACCGGAACATACATCCGAGACACCAGCATCCGTGGACCAGTACCTTGCTATATTTCTTATCGTGTTGAACAGGTCTTCCCGAACTTTCACCATCGTGTAGTCGTCACGTGCTCGTTGTAGGCGCTCAGCCTCGGCTCTCTCTTCGGGCGATTCATCAAGGATGAGCAACGAGTCTTGCGTGCGCGTGAGACCTTTGGCTACCCCTGACAATGTCTGAAGCTGGGAAATGATAATGAAACGAGTTTCGTCCACAAGCTGCAGAAGACAAAACGATTCAGCTTGTAGGAAACCATGTCTAACTCAATGCGAACCTGAGAGGGACCGTGCAGGGCTTGTGCAAGTTTTTCGATTACCGGGATAACAATCGCCTGGATGGGTGGAATCTCCTCTTCAGGTGGTAACGCTTGTATTACGCTAGCGATTGATTGAAGAACCTTGCTCTTTTCGGTATCCTGGGCATGTTTGCATGACATTAGTGAAGATACAGACCATGCATGAATCTCACGGACCGGGATACCACTCAATCCGGCATGCAGCTCCGCAAACGCTCCAATATGGGGCGCAAGCGCAACACGATTAGCATCGCACAGATCACGAAGGGCATTTGCAGCCGGCAGGCATAATGCAGGCTCCGGTAGAGCAGCGACGACGTAAGAAATGGCGTTCATCAAAAGAGATGGAGTTGAGGTGGGTGTCGGTGCATTGGTTTGAGTTGTGAACCATGTTGAGTACACCGCTGAACACAGAAGGTCAGGAACACAATCATGAGTCGGGTGTGCGATGCTCCTACCAATCAAGCCAAGCATAGTCCTACGTATTCGATCCTGACCTGAAGTTGGCAAACGACCGAGCACATCAGGTCCAAACAGCCGAGCAAGGAAGGGGTTGTCTTCCAACGGTACCGCTTCTTGAATTGACATGATACAGTGCAACGTGGCTTCAATTTCCTGGTAGTATGTATTAAATGAGTATCATATAAACCAAAAGAAGTGCTCACCTCCCATCCTTGCAATCCATTCGGTTGTGCAAAGCGCTTTTGCATGTCCTCAAGGAAGTACCCCAACATGTCATTTCGCAGGATGTAATATCTAGGGATGAATCAACATAAAATACAGCCACGTCGATCATCTTATTCACGCATTGATCAGGGTATCACCGACATCCCTCCGATACCTGCAAATCGTCAACGTCATGTGAGTTGATGAACGTTGCTCTCACTCACACTTGAAATCTGTCAACTTCATCTACAAAGGATTTCGTTTCAGCACAAGGCAGGCAAACGTGATATAAATCTATCACCTTTTGCCCAGTAACTGACAGTACGCTGGTCTGGCCACATTACCTTCCTTCTCAGAATCTCTACAAGTTGAACGTATACCGCATTCACGACGCTCCATTGTTCCTTTTCCTTGACATCAAGAAGTGAAGATATACCGTCCTGATCCTCAGCTTGGTCTTCGTACTCCACGCTCCACAACGATTCCTGAAAGAGGTACCAAAAGCCAAGAGTCATCTCGCTCTCCTCTTCGTCGACACCGTAATAACCCGATAGTCCGGTATATTTCAAAAGGAGGTGCAAGAACTTTTGCACAAAGTAGGCGCGCCGGTAGGGTGTCCCGGGTATGGGTTTCAACGATGTGATGTTGGAGGCGAAATACATGGTGGAGTGGTCTCCTAATGCAACCAGTAACTTACAAAGTGAATGAGACACACCATCAACTGAACCAGCTGGATGTCGGATAATGGTGAGTAGTCATATCGAGTGAACATGTACAACAACCGAGGCTCACCGCGATCTCCATGGGCATCAAGCCAAACAAGAAGCGGCTCTGTCAACGTGCTTGTCCCCGCGCCTCCAGCCAACGAAGACCTCGTCATGATCTCCTGTAAAACATCAGAAGCCACTGAAAAAGCCGACTCGTCAAATCCGGAGTCTGGCGCGGGCGTCATTATCGTGATCAACAGTGGTATAATAGGTGTAATGTCACTTGTGCGACGCGTTAAGTTGAAAACTGAGCAAAGCATATGAAAGAACATTACTTGGCCCGTAAGGTGTATATCCATGCTTGGAAGCACTTGAGTGCGGATTGTAGTTCGGGCAATATGAGAGTCGGCCGAGTGATAGATGTTATTACAGCTTGGATGACCATCGGAGAAGCGTCCAGAAGAGACTGGTGCATTTGCATCCTAGAACGGAATTGGTGATAACGCAGAGGGATTCGATTCGTTGCACTCACTTACTAGACCCTAGAAGGTCGGCTGTTTCGACCTCTTCAGCGACTATGGTAAGGAAGGCAAGGAGTTGTTCTGGAGGCATGCCAGAGGAAGAGAGAGAATTGACTGCCGCCACTATCCAGTCTGGCCACCTTGAGGGTGAACCCGGCGCGATGCGGAGTGCAAGTGATGTGATCTGCAAACGATCACTAGACAGACTTTAATCTAGAACTTGTACTTACTGCAACAAATAGTTTGCGGCAGACTACCTTGCCCTTGCCAGTTAATATCGAGTGTGAGGTCAGCTTGAGTAGTAATTCTCGTAGATGTTCGGCGTTTTCCTCAGGAAATGAATCCCTGCAGCAATAGCAGCTGATCAGTACCATTGCAAAGAGGAAAAGGTGGAGCACTTACCAATCACGCATAATCTTAACCTGCGCGGTATGTGCGCCAAAGAATTGCACATTTGGGTCTGGATGTTCGAGGAAAGGTACAACTAACCCCCATGCCTCGGGTCGTCTCTGAATCTCAACTAGCTCTTGCTGAATTCGCCGTTGATCCACCTGGGCATGTGCACTCGAATATGCTTGTTGTATCAACTGTGGAAGTGTCGTAAGAAATCTGCTCAAAGTGCAGATTTGAAGTACGTACTTGAGCTGCTTGTTGCACATCGGGAGGAGACAAATCTGGGAGGAAATTTCCGGACGACATTGCATATGAAACGGGCAAAGATTTCAAGTGAAGAAGCTGTTAAGTTGCAACCTGTACAACTGCCTATGGGATAGACTTCACTGGCAGAAGATCTCTAAATTGACGGAAGAGAAGGGTGGCGGCGCGTCTATCCTAAGGCCTAAGGACTGGATCGGGTGTCACTGAGACAAGCATGTTCTTATCAATCAACAAACGGGCGTCTCTCATCAATTTACCACTCTCATGATTATATTCTAGGACTCTATGATGCAACTTCATTACGCTACGCGGTTCAAATCATGGCCAGAGATTTGTATACAAGTACGAACGACATGCGATGCGCGGATTACAAGTTGGATAGAAGTTCTCCTGGCCTGAGGACTACAAATCACCTTTCGATCTCGGGCTGAAATTCGACGCGGTGGAGGTGGCCCATGCATGTCAACATGCGATTCTAATTTCATGACCAACGTTGCGATTCACAAACTCGCCACGGAAATTTTTCACTGAACGCTTGTTCGTGTCCGTGCTGTGTGTAGTGTACCCTAGGACTATCGGGATCCGGACAACCCCCTTGGACATAATGTCAACACCTAGTTTTAAAGCTCGAATTTCCTTATTGCTGCGCCCACCTTGACAATGACATCCTCCGAAGCCATGTCATGTTGACCACGCATCTGCTCTCTGAAATTAGAAGACAAAAAAACCATTACATTCCGTGGACTACTCGCAGCGCTTCATCAATGTCCAGTCAGTTCGGAATATCGAATTGACGCTGTGAATATTGACACCAACCACACAGTGGAATCATTGTCATCTTGGCATACATCCCTTCAACTATTGGATGCGCTCCGCTGATGTAGTGGATACAGAAGCTGTCCCTCGTATGATCGTATCGTCTTCTATATACTCCCTTCCATCGACAAAATCTACCACAACCCAATGTATTCAAGCCGCACGAATGCCTGGCGCGAAGTGCTAAGTCACTATAATTTGTATTTCAATGACTCTAGTACATTGATGACTAGACTATACAGAGCTTATAGATAGCCTTTAGCCAGAACTGAGTCATAGGCGAGTAGCAATTTCAATAGGGGATGACAAAACCAGCCAGCCCGTCGGTGCACGAGACAGCTGGCAAAAGCCCAAGACATCTGCAGCTTATCTTGAGGCAAGGCCAAGTTTGTGGGTCGTTATATAAATCGACGTGTTCAAGATGTGTAATTGGTCGTAAAAATGTAGTGTATGACATTACGATGTTCAAATCTAACTGACAAGTTTTGCACAGACCTACGGACCCGGGCCGCATGGGAACTTGGATTCCCAGACTTGCTGTAAAATCAGCCAAGGGTTTCTTCACAACTCATGGCGAGTTTCTTGCGGACAATATTAATTGCTGCATTCTATGGTGTCCATCAGTCTGTTGAACTTGGAAGAAGTAGTAGCATAGTGCGAACCTTACATCTGGTGATACTTTTTTTTCGCTCGCGAGTTCAAACCGAACCCGACCGTCCTGGGAATTCGAATTTCTAGCAGTCCCGGGCCGGACGGCGACAGAACAATTTGTAACTACTATCAACTTGTATTTCGCGTTCGCTTACTGGCCATTAAGACTGTCTAGCTCATCACGAATATTGCAATAACACGTATACCTTGATGGCCAACACCCGTGGACGAATACTAATGAACTGTCTAGACTCGCTGATTCAATGCCAGCAGTCCGACCATATCCAACATACGATTTTACATCAGTATAAAACAGACAGTACCAACATCCAAGTGCCCATCCATTCTCCACAAGTAAAATCAATTGATCATTATGTTTATCCGCCCCTCTACTGTTCTCGTCGTCGTCGTCGGCCTGATGGCCCTCATGAGCGCTGGAGCGCCAGTGGTAAGCCTCGCCTCGCTTTAGATTGTATCATACTCTCATAATACAATGTCCGCAGGCTGTTATCGTGAGCCTCGTGTTGCCTTCAATCATATCATGTTCTCATGCAATGTCCCCAGGATGACATCGACAAGCGCGGGGCACCCCCTGTAAGCCTCGCCTCGCTTTAAATTGGATCATACTCTCATAGCACAATGTCCGCAGGCTCGTAGGACTTCTACCATCGTGAGCCTCGTATTGCCTTCAATTATATCATGTTCTCATGCAATGTCCCCAGGATGACATTGACAAACGCGGGGCACCCCCTGTAAGCCTCGCTTTGCTTTAAATTGGATCACACTCTCATAATACAATGTCCGCAGGCTCGTAGGACTTCTACCATCGTGAGCCTCGCATCGCCTTTAATCATATCATGTTCTCATGCAATGTCCCCAGGATGACATTGACAAGCGCGGTGCACCCCCTGTAAGCCTCGTCTCGCTTTAAATTGTATCATACTCTCATAATACAATGTCCGCAGGCTCGTAGGACTTCTACCATCGTGAGCCTCGCATCGCCTTTAATCATATCATGTTCTCATGCAATGTCCCCAGGATGACATTGACAAGCGCGGTGCACCCCCTGTAAGCCTCGTCTCGCTTTAAATTGTATCATACTCTCATAATACAATGTCCGCAGGCTCGTAGGACTTCTACCATCGTGAGCCTCGCATTACCTTCAATTATATCATGTTCTCATGCAATGTCCCCAGGATGACATTGACAAGCGCGGTGCACCCCCTGTAAGCCTCGTCTCGCTTTAAATTGTATCATACTCTCATAATACAATGTCCGCAGGCTCGTAGGACTTCTACCATCGTGAGCCTCGCATTACCTTCAATTATATCATGTTCTCATGCAATGTCCCCAGGATGACATTGACAAGCGCGGTGCACCCCCTGTAAGCCTCGTCTCGCTTTAAATTGTATCATACTCTCATAATACAATGTCCGCAGGCTCGTAGGACTTCTACCATCGTGAGCCTCGCATTACCTTCAATTATATCATGTTCTCATGCAATGTCCCCAGGATGACATTGACAAGCGCGGTGCACCCCCTGTAAGCCTCGTCTCGCTTTAAATTGTATCATACTCTCATAATACAATGTCCTCAGGCTGCCAGGACTGCTATCATCGTGAGCCTCACATCGCCTTCAATCATATCATGTTCTCATGCAATGTCCTCAGGCTGCTCTCGACTAGGTTGACGTAAGCCCAGCTTCGCACCAGATCACCCTGTTGATCTTACAATGTGCACAGCTGAATAACTTGCATGGTCCTCTTGATGTTGTTGACTGATGCACTCGTGCCTCACTTCCACCAAACGCACAAATGCCAAAGAAATCATAGATAGTTTTGCCGATTGCTGTTCAATTTCTTGACTTGTAATTCCTAGTGAATAACAACTACTATTTCTGTTCTTCAAGTTGCCTGGTGACTCCTAGCAAGCTTATCACGCGCACATGCACGACCTCCAGCCGCATGTTCAGTCTGACTACCCATGTCAGCGCAAGAACTTTGGTTCAGGTGCACATGGCTCGCAGCATCCGGATTCCGGACGGATTCGCATACCAGACAAGGCAAGTTATCGCGAAACATACCCATAAATGGCCCTCGGTCCCTGTCCCATTGCAAACGATGAACGTAAATGCTAATGCCCCGATTGCGAATAGCAACTATCAAGAGAGATTGGTGATTGAACTAGCCCCACTCCGAGTCGGAGGTGACGAGCCTCGGGAATTTTCAAGACGAACAACTTGTAGGAGAGCCGCAGCATCCAGTCGAACGTCGAACACCTATCCACCAACTCCTCGGTTCCAACGTAGAGATATACCCTGTGAGCTGGCTTGCTCACATGAATGACTGAATTGCATATTATATTACTTGCTACCGCATATAGTGTTGCGCTGAGCCAGCGAGGGAAGATGACGATACGCATTTTGCATTTCCTGGCCGCTGATGCCTCAGGATATTCGACACATGCACATCCGCGAGCGTCGAAATGGTAGTAAGGCCTCCCTTCGATGAGAACCGATCCGATGTCAAAAAGTTGGTCGATCATTGATTTACTGGTGCTAGGAGCACTGGTGACGATAGTTGTCTATCGTACTAAGCACCACGACTCGGACATTCTTTGCATCCTCACTGGTAAATCTTCTCTTCATATCGACTGCAGTCACAGGGCTTGCTGATGACTCATTACAGGACATTACATATGGCGCGGACGGACAGTGGTCAGCGATTCGGAGAAATTTGTTTAGGCTTGTAAACTCTACAAGATTTTCCATTTTTCGCAGTGTCCTCTGGCTAGCTCCGAGTCTGAGTCTCTTCGCTTCAAGAATCAAGATATGTGCTGGCGATACGGGTTGATGGTGTCAGCTCCCATGAGGGTATGAGCACGCTATTGAGGTTAGTAGGAGTCCGCGACATCAAGGAAGGTGATACTGGGGGGATTTCGGATTCTATGATGCGGCACGGCGAGATGAGTAGAATTGATCTCTAGTTTTTTTCGCGGTGTCCTATGGCCAGTTCTCCCGGTGATATTCCTGTGAGGTTCGAGGCGGAGAGCGAGCGTTACGGGTTGTTTGCTCCCATGATTTCACATATAACAGGAATTCGCCACTCTTCATGCATAAGATCAAGGGAGCTAATAGGGTAAATGGGATATCGCACGTGGACACGTTTCGTCGAGAGAAAGGAATGAATTAAATTGAATTTCGAATTGCACCATGTTCAAACTTAGATGATCGACGTCGTCGGTCAAGGATATAAAAAATCTCACTTTCCCGTATACACCAAAGCACGACTAACTGACCTTCTCAAACGCCTTGAACCAATCCTTCGTAGCCTCAAATGAACCCTCGCAACTTCAACTCCATCATTTGCATGTGACTCTCCGGGAAAGGATAGCACATCTACTGTCCTTTTTTTTCCCCTTCCCGGTCTCATTCTCATTCCCACTCCGAAACTCACCCCTCCCCTTGATCGCACGATAAAACCAAAAGCCCTACCCCCGAACGACCCTCAGATCATCTTCGCCTATCAATATCAGCACCGGTGCTGTTACATTGTTGACGTGCGTGATTGGGGATGCGGTGAAGAGGATGTTGTATGTTTCAACTTTCTGGAGGTCATTAGCGGGAGTGTGAGCGTTGGCATTCGCAATGTAGGATAGGGATGTGGGTGACGTGTAGGAGTCAGTCGGTGGAAGAAACATTCAGGATCAACCCGATCAGAAATATTGCGAGTTTGCTTGCGGAGCGATGCTACGTTGGGTATTGAGCTATCACTGTATGCGCGCTCGAAAGTGGGCATCAGCATTATCGAGGCATGTATGTTTGAGCGTGCTTGAAAAACATATTGTGGAGAAAAAGATGACATACAATGAGCAGCGACAAACTCACCATGACTGCCTCCCATCATGAGCTGTCTTATTTCCTCTGAAACGCCCCTTTTAACAAGTTCCCTGACGCTTTCCGCGACGTCTTCGACGTCCATGCCCCCACAGTGCCCGAAGGGTATCTGTTGTGTGAGTAAGTTATGAAGGATTGTGGTCTGGAAGTTGTGATTTGGTATAGGGGAGAGAAAGAGGGACGTGCATCCTTCAAGCGCTATGTGACAACAGCCGGAACGAACGCAGTAACGCAGGATAGTGACACTGGTTTCGGGCCACCACCTATAAAAGCTTTCTTAGATTGGATTGGGAGTGTTTCCGTTGGTGCGCAGGCGGTGATGGGTATGAGTGATCAGGCGAAGGCGGAGTTATGTCGGAAATTCAAGTTTCCTAGAAGGATCTAAGAAGTTGTAAAGGACTCTATGATGCAACTTCATTACGCTACGCGGTTCAAATCATGGCCAGAGATTTGTATGGTAGAATGACATGCGATCCGCGGATTACAAGTTCTCCTGGCCTGAGGACTACAAATCACCTTTCGATCTCGGGCTGAAATTCGACGCGGTAGAGGTGGCCCATACATGTCAACATGATTCTAATTTCATGACCGACGTTGTGACTCACGGACTCGCCACGGAAAATTTTCACTGAACGCTTGTTCGTGTCCGTGCTGTGTGCTCTAAGACTATCGGGATCCGGACAACCCCGAGGAGGACCGAATCTTACGTAAAGCTCGAATTTCCTTATTACTGCGCCCACCTTGATTTGAATGACCATCCTCCGAAGCCATGTCATGTTGGCCACACACCCGCTCTCTGAAATTAGAAGACAAAGAAACCATTACATTCCGTGGACCACTCGCAGCGCTTCATCAATGTCCTCATTTGAATAAGTTCAGAATGTCGAATTGACGCTGTGAATATTGACATCAACCGTACAGTGGAATCATTGTCATCTTGGCATACATCCCTTCAGCTATTGGATGTGCGCTCCGCTGATGTAGTGGATACAGAAGATGTCGCTCGTATGATCGTATCGTCTTCTATATACTCCCTTCCGTCGACAAAATCTACCACAACCCAATGTATTCCAGCCGCACGAATGCCTGGCGCGAAGTGCTAAGTCACTATAATTTGTATTTCAAGGCATTGATGACAGAGCTTATAAATAGCCTGTAGCCAGAACTGAGTCATAGGCGAGTAGCACCTTCAATAGGGGATGACAAAACCAACCAGCCCGTTGGTGCACGAGACAGCTGGCAAAAGCCCAAAACATCTGCAGCTTATCTTGAGGCAAGGCCAAGCTTGTGGGTCGTTATATAAATCGACGTGTTCAAGATGAGTAACTAGTCATAAAAATGTAGTGTATGACATCACGAGGTTGAAATCTAACTGACAAGTTTTGCACAGACGGACAGATCTACGGACCCAGGCCGCATGGAGACCACCGGGAACTTGGATTCCCAGACTTGCTGTAAAGTCAGCTGAGGGGAGGGCGCCTCTGAGAATCTTGGCCGGTCTGGGACAAAGTCTGGGAGCAAGTCTGAGACAAAGTATGGGACATCCGCACCTCCAAGCGGAGTATGAATGTTTCTGTATCCGTCACTGTTTCTCACTTGCTCATTGTCTGCAACAGCGCCAAGGACCGACTTCCGTCACTGTTTCCATGCCGATGTCCCATACTTTCTCCCATACTGTGTCCCAGATTCTGTCCCAGACTGGTCAAATCCCTAACATTCTGGCTGAGGATAGGTGTTGCAGTGCCTCATGACGAGTTTCTTGCGGAGTCCGGACAATATTAATTACTGCATTCTACGGTGTCCACCAGTTTGTTGAACTTGGGAGAAGTAGTATGGTGCGAACCTTACATCTGGGGATACTTGAATTCGAAATTCGAATTGCTAGCATTCCCGGGCCGGACGGCGACAGAACAATTTCGATATCTACCAGTCAACTTACTATCAACGCGTTCGAGTTCGCTCACTGGCATTAAGACTGTCTAGCTCATCACGAATCTTGCAATAACACGTATACCTTGACGGCCAACACCCGTGGACGAATACCATCGAACCGTCTTGAGTCCCACTGATTCAATGCCAGCAGTCCGACCATATCCAACATACGACTTTACATCAGTATAAAACAGACAGTACCAACATTCAAGTGGCCAACATCCTCTCCACAAGTGAAATCAACTGATCATCATGTTTATCCGCCCCTCTACTGTTCTCGTTGTCCTCCTCGGCCTGACGGCCCTTGTGAGCGCTGGTCCAGCACCAGTGGTAAGCCTCGCTTCGCTTTAGATTGTATCATACTCTCATAATACAATGTCCGCAGGCTGTGAGGTCTTCTAGCATCGTGAGCCTCACATATCCTTCAATCATATCATGTTCTCATGCAATGTCCCCAGGATGACATTGACAAGCGCGGGGCACCCCCTGTAAGCCTCGTCTCGCTTTAAGTTGTATCATACTCTCATAATACAATGTCCTCAGGCTGCTAGGAGTAATGTCGTCGTGAGCTTCACGTCGCCTTCAATCAGAACCTCACTCCCACATCACCCATAAATGCCAAAGATATCATAAATAGTTTTGCCGATTGCTGTTCAATTTCTTGACATGTTGTAATTCCTAGTGAATAACAACTACTATTTGTGTTCCTTGGCTGGTGAATCCTAGCAAGCTTATCACGCGCACATGCACGACCTCCAGCCGCGTGTTCAGTCTGACTACCCATGTCAGCGCAAGAACTTTGGTTCAGGTGCACATGGCTCGCAGCATCCGGATTCCGGACGGATTCGCATACCAGACAAGGCAAGTTATCGCGAAACATACGAATAAATGGCCCTCAGTCCCTGCCCCATTGCAAACGATGAACGTAAATGCTAATGCCCCTATCAAGAGAGATCGGTGATTGACATTGACCTCAGGTCGTTTGGCATCTTCGCGTGAGTAAATTCGTGTGATGTGGCCATCAGGCCAAACGTCCCATTCAATATCGCCACTAGTAGGTGCCTGGGGTTGGTGGACAGCAGAGGCGCGTGCAGTTGGATCAGTCGCGTCAATACCTTATATGGATTAATCACAGCTCCAGCCTTGAACGTGCTGATGGTACTTACTAGTAGCAGGTGTGTTCGTGTCCGTGCTGTCCGTGCTGTGTGCTCTAGGATTATCGGGATCCGGACAACCCCCTTGGACAGCAATCACACAATTTCAACACCGAATCTTAAAAGATCGAATTTCCTTATTGCTGCGCCTACCTTGACAATGACCATCCCCCGAAGCCATGTCATATTGGTCACGCATCTGCTCTCTGAAATTAGAAGACAAAAAAACCAAAATGCAGCCGCAGGGACCTCATCTTGTATTCAGATCTTTTTCCGTCAAGAGTTACCTTCAATCTTTAGAATACGAGAAGTGAGAACGAGCAAAGGATATTTGCGATGAATGTCTTTACTGTACCATACGTACTTCGCGGTTCGAATTTCAGACCACATTGCACAACCGCCAACGATTGGCCGTTTCAAGCGGATCGCGAGAGACTTGCGAGTGTTTGACTGGTCCCGGTCAGCGCTTCAGCAAAGGTGGTTCGTGTGTGCTGTACAAATTTCTACCGCACTATGCTGCAATGCATCCCCGATAGTATTTCGGGCTGAACTATTTTGTAGCTCTGCCAGCAGAACGGGCAGACCCTGTCAGAACGATATTCTGCCAGCGTGGCAGATGGCAGAATATGTTGTTTTTATTGTGCTAGAGGTACGAATTACATGGAGACGACCATTAATGGGTTTGAAGAACTTGAAGCATTGCTTCCCTCGTCATCACCCAAAATAGTTGAATACCAATACAAATTTCCGAGCCTGGCTGGATTTGACTGGGTCACTCGAGCGCCAAGTCACTGATTTGTATGTCAAGGACCCTAGTACATTGACAAGACTGCCTGTAGTCCGGACTAGGTATTTCAGAGACGCCTTCGTGAGTGCAAACAGTAGAATCTGGCAGGTCCACAGCGGTCGAGTCCATTGGCAGGCAAGCACAGAGGATGAGAAAGCAGGTTGAGTCATAGGCGAGTAGCACCTTCAGAAGGAGATAACAAAACCAGCCAGCGGGACTGCCAGCCCGTCAAATTTCAATGCACGAGACAGGGCAAAGCCCAAAGCATCTACAGTTGATCTTCATGCAAGGCCAAGCTTGAAGATCGCTATACAAATTGATGTGTTCAGGATGTGCAACTAGTCGTAAGAATGAGCTCATACATTGTACTACTGGCATGAGTTGCATGACGATGTTAAAATCTAACTTTGCACAGTCGGATCCGGACAGATCTACGGACCGGCCCGAGAGAGACTACCGGAAATGTGGATTCCCAGACTTGCTGTAAAGTCAGCTGATCAAAGGTTTCTTGCCTCACGACGAGTCTCTTGCGGACAATATCAATTACCGTATGCATTCTACGGTATCCGTGGAGTCCATCATAGCATGGTGTTCAGAAGCTGGCCTTCAGACCTAGTAAAGTTTTAGAGTGCGTCTATTATACATTGATCACTGATACATTAAACTGTATGGTCTAGAAGCGAACCTTATAGTATCATATCCAATGGTCTTCGCTCGGGTTGGGTTCAAACCGAACCCGACCGTGTCGGGAATAATTTCTAGCAGTCCCGGGCCGCAGAACAATTTGTAACTACTTTCAACTTATATTTCGCGTTCGCTCACTGTCTAGCTCATCACGTATCTTGCGCTACCACGTATACCTTGATGGCCATCACCCGTGGACGAATACCATTGAACTTTCTTGAGTCACTGATTCAATGCCAGCAGTCCGACGGACTCCGACCATATCCAACATATGACTTTACATCAGTATAAAACAGACAGTACCAACATTCAAGTGGCCAACCTCTATCAACTGATTATCATGTTTATTCGCCCCTCTACTGTTCTCGTTGTGCTCCTCGGCCTGACGGCCCTTGTCAGCGCTGGAGCGCCGGTGGTAAGCCTCGCCTCGCCTTCAATCGTATCATATTGTTACACAATGTCCACAGGATGCTAGAGCAAAGGCCCTTGTAAGCCGTGCCTCACGTTATATTGGATCATATTCTCATACAATGTCCACAGGAGGATGAGAAGCGCAAGACTCCCCCTATAAGCCCTGCCTCACCTTAAACCATACCATATTCTCATACAATATCCACAGGCTGCTAGAAAGACTGCTCCCCCTGTAAGCCTCGCCTCTCTTTAAATCATATCATATTCTCATACAATGTCCTCAGGCTGCTAGAGAGATTGCCATTGTAAGCCTCACATCCCCTTCCATCGTATCATGTTCTTATGCAATGTCCCCAGGAGGACGAGAAGCGCAAGACCCCCCTGTAAGCCTTCCTTTGCTTTAAAATCATATCATATTCTCATACAATATCCACAGGCTGCTAGAAAGACTGCTCCCCCTGTAAGCCTCACCTCTCTTTAAATCATATCATATTCTCATACAATGTCCTCAGGCTGCTAGAAAGATTGCCACTGTAAGCCTCACATCGCCTCGAATTGTATTATATTCTCATACAATGTCCACAGGAGGACGAGAAGCGCAAGACGCCTCCTGTAAGCCTCACCTCGCCTTAAATCGTATCACATTCTCATGCAATGTCCTCAGGCTGCTCGCGTCACAGATTACTAGGCCGGGGTTGAGGTAAGCCTAGCTTCGCGTCAGATCTCACCTTGTTGTTCTTACAATTTGCATAGCTGAATAACTTGCATGGTCCTCTTGATGTTGCTTGATCAACGCACCAGTACCTCACTCCCACCAAACGCACAAATGCGAAAGAGATCATAAACAGTTTTGCCGATTGCTGTCCAATTTCTTGACAGGTTGTAATTCCTAGTGAATAACAACTACCATTTCTGTTCCTTGGCTGGTGAATCCTAGCAAGCTTATCACGCGCACATGGCTCGCAGCATCCGGACGGATTCGCATACCAGACAAGGCAAGTTATCGCGACACATACCAATCAATGGCCCTCGGTCCGTGTCCCATTGCAAACAATGAACGTAAATGCTAACACTAACATGAATGCTAATGCCCGATTGCGAGTAGCAACCATCAAGAGAGATCAGTGATTCAACCACTCCGAGTCAGAGATTACGAACCTCAGGAGTATTTCTTCGATTTTCAAGACGAACAACTTGCAGGAGAGCCGCAGCATCCAGTAGAACGTCGAACACCTATCCACCAACTCCTCGGTTCCAACGTAGAGATATACCCTGTGAGCTGGCTTGCTCACATGAATGACTGAATTGCGTATTACTTACTACCGCGTACAGTGTTGCGCTGAGCTAGCGAGGGAAGATGACGATACGCATTTTGCATTTCCTGGCTGCTGATGCCTCAGGATATTCGACACATGCACATCCGCGAACGTCGAAATACTGGTAGCAAGGCCTCCCTTCGACGAGAACCGATCCGATGTCAAAAAGTTGGTCGATCATTGATTTACTGGTGCTAGGAGCAGTGACGATAGTTGTCTACCGTACTAAGCGCCACGACTCTGCATCCTCACTGGTAGATATTCTCTTCATATCGACTGCAGTCACAGGCTTGCTGATGACTCATTACAGGATATTACATATGGCGCGGACGGACGGTGGTCAGCGACTCGGAGAAATTTGTTTAGGCTTGTAAACTCTACATGATTTTCCATTTTTTCGCAGTGTCCTTTGGCCAGCTCCGAGTGTGTTTCTCTTCGCTTCAAGAATCAAGATATGTGCTGTCGATACGGGTGGATGGTATCAACTCCCATAGAATTGATCTCTAGAATTTTTCCCGGTGTCCTGTGAGGGTCGAGGTGGAGAGCGAGCGATACGGGTTGGTTTCTCCCATATTTTCATGTATATCAGGGATTCGCCACTCTTCTTCCATCATGCATGTGATCAAGGGAGCTGATAGGCTAAATGGGATATCGCACGACACCAGATCGCGTTGTTCCGAATATCCACGTGGACATGTTTCATCTAGAGAAAGGAATGAATTTCGAATTACGCCATGTTCAAACTTGGACGATCGTCGTCGGTCAAGGGTATAAAAATCTCACTTTCCCGTATGCACCAACGCACAACTAACTGACCTTCTCAAACGCCTTGAACCAATCCTTCATAGCCTCAAATGAAACCCTCGCAACTTCAACTCCATCGATTGCATGTGACTCTCCGGGAAAGGATAGTACATCTACTGTCCTTTTTTTCCCTTCCCGGTCTCATTCTCATTCCCACTCCGAGACTCACCCCTCCCCTTAATCGCGGGGTAAAACCAAAAACCCTACCCCCGAACGACCCTCAGATCATCATCGCCTATCAATATCAGCACTGGCGCTGTTATATTGTTGACGTGCGCGATCGGGGATGCGGTGAAGAGGATGTTGTATGTTTCTGGGGGTCATTAGCGGGAGTGTGAGCATTGGCATTCGCAATCTGGGGGAGTTGGATGTGGGTTACCTGTAGGAGTCAGTCAGTGCAAGAAACCCAGAATTCAGGATAAACCCGATCAGGAATATCAGTCCTCGTTGTGAGTTTGCCTGATAAGATGACGGGGTTGCGGAGCGATGCTACGTTGGGTGTTGGCCTATCACTGTATGCGCGCGCGAAAGTGGGCATCAGCATTGTCGAGGCGTGTATGTTCGAGCGTGCTTGACAAAGCCTATTGTGGAGAAAAAGGGGACATGCGATGAGCAGGGACAAACCCACCATGACTGCCCCCCATCACGAGCTATCTTATTTCCTCTGAAATGCGCCTTCTAATAAGTTCCCTGACGCTTTCGACGTCCATGCTCCCAGTGCCCGAATGGTGTCTGTCGTGTGAGTAAGTTATCGAGGATTGTGGTCTGGAAGTTGTGATTTGGTAGGGGAGAGAAAGAGGGACGTGCATCCTTCAAGCGCTAATGCGACAACAGCCGGAACAAACGCAGTAATGCGGGATAGTGATGCACATTGGTTTCGGGGCACCACTCGTAGAAGCTTTCTTAAATTGGATGTTCAATGAGGAGTGTTTCCGTTGGTGCGCGGGCGGTGATGGGTATGAGAAAAACTTCTTGTGCTCTCAGGCGAAGGCGGACTTAAACAAGACTATTCTTGAAATCACTTTAAATCATCGCCTGGGGTATGTTTCACCGTCATGTTGAGCGCTGAGCGATGTAACACAATGTTCTAGTTCGGAGCGGAGCTGAGGTGTCTTGGCTATCATGATGAATGTGTGTTTCTTGAATGGTCTGTCGAGGTAGATTCAGGATGTGGAACGGTACGAAATGGTTGCATGATTGCGCTTTGTCTGGTATGGTGTATACATGTTTGGACTCGGAGAACGTCGGTCACCAAGCTGCACGGGTTCATGACCATTCCTTCGATAACTTATTCTACACCTGTAAATTTACACCCCTCTACTTGACCGCACACTAGACTCGATCGGGTGTCACTGAGACAATCATGTTCTTATCAATCAACCAGCGGGCGTCTCTCATCAATTTGTCGCTCTCATGATTATATTCCAGGACTCTATGATGCAACTTCGCGGTTCAAATCATGGCCAGAGATTTGTATGCTATGAACGACATGCAATGCGCAGATTTGGGAATGCCGGACTCGTTACGAAATTTTTCACTGGACGTTTGTCCGTGTCCGTGCTGTGTGCTCTAGGACTATCGATACCCATTGATGCATCGGACTCTACTCGTTTGCGAAATCCTCCTAGAGATATTCAAGCTTGTCAATGCAACCCAGGACCCAATCGTCGTGTCGTATCACAAGGTGTCATTGGCGTGGGCATCCCTTGCAGCACTTGCAAATCTACGACGTGTCAAACATTCCACGAACTCGCAATGAGTGACCTCTGGTCCACCGCTAGGCTGTGTGACAAGGTTGCGTCCAATGATATACTGTACGGTAGAGGTGAGTGCAGAATATCGTGCCCTGTTCATCCTCTTTCGTTCATTACTATCTCACCGAGCACCTAAACACAGCGCACCTGGTATAACCCTCCTTACTTTGACGTTATCGAACCATCACCGGCGAATGAAGCTTGCCAATTCTTGTGTCACACTGCCCATGTACGCTCAATGCATATTGAACGAGCATCCGACTAGGATTTTCACCTTCTCTCAGTCCTCCCGAAAAAGACATGCATGTTCCCGAGACCGTAGTCGTTATTCACGGCTCTATGTCCGAATAGATACCTGCAGTCTTCTGCTTCTTTATGACCCAGGTCATTGTTCCGGACCTAAAATTAATTGATCCGGTGTACTGCTCTCGAACATTTATCGTTGATGCACGTCGATGCACTACAACAGATAAACTGCCCATTCTACCTGACAGTGTCCGTTTGTGCAAGCGACTTGTAACTGTCTTGTCCACCTTTCGACTAGGCAGCATGGAAGCACCTCTCCAACCTCTCACAGTCACGGTTCGTATGGAGAATATAGTCCCTTCTGCATCAGACAATGATATGACCTTCGGACCCTCCCTCAACCTCTCCTGTGAGGTCTTTCTTTCCTGGCAGAAACGGCTGCATACATTACAACACTCATCCCTTCGCTGAAAAAATTTAGACCTTTATTTCCTTGGGTAGACGCTGAGCGGCTTTTTCATGCCATATACCAGCGTACAGTGTGCCAGACTCTTGAGCACACTAGGATGCAGTCCTGCAGTTCGGGAGGTCAGGATCCGGACAGCTCTTGGACAGCAATCACACAATTTCAAGACCGAGTCGCAAAGCTCGAATTTCCTTATTGTTGCGCCCACCTTGACGACGACGATCCTCGGAGGCCATGTCATGTTGGCCACGCATCTGCTCTCTGAAATTAGAAGACAAAAAAACCATCACATTCCGTGGACTACTCGCAATGCTTCGTCAATGTCCTTATTTGTCATTTGAATAAGTTCAGAATGTCGAATTGACGCTGTGAATATTGACGTCAACCGTACAGTGGAGTGTTTGCCATCACGGCATACATCCCTTCAACTATCGGATGTGCGCTCCGCTGATGTACTGGATACAGAAGCTGTGGCTCGTATCATCTTCTCTATGCTCCCTTGCGTCGACAAGATCTACTATACCCGGTGTATTTCAGTCACGCGAACGCTTGCGCGAGGTTCGGAGCCATCTGGAACATCTCAAGTCTTCCGCAGTCCTTGATCGCTAAAATGCAGCTGCAGGGACCTCATCTTGTATTCAGATCTTTTTCTGTCAAAAGTCACCTTCAATATTTAGAATATGAGAAGTGAGAACGAGGAAAGGATATTTGCGATGAATGTCCTTACTGCACCATACGTACTTCACGGTTCGAATTTCAGACCACATTGCACAACCGCCAACGATTGGCCGTTTCAAGCGGGTCGCGAGAGGCTTACGAGTGTTTGACCGGCCAGCGCTTTAGCAAAGGTTGTTTGTTTCTGTCGTACAACGTTCTACCCCACAATTTAGACTATGGGTTCCCGATAGTGTTTCGGGCAAAACTATTTTGTAGCTCTGCCAGCAGAGCTGGTAGACCCTGTCAGAACTATGTTCTGCCAGCGTGTCAGATAGCAGAATATGTTGTTTTCATTGTGCTAGAGGTACGAATTACACGGAGACGACCATTAATGAGGAAGCACTGCTTCCCTCGTCACCATCACCCAAAATAGCTGAATACTTCCGAGTCTGACCGGGTCACCCAAGCGCCAAGTCACTATAATTTGTATGTCAAGGACCCTAGTACATTGACAAGACTATACAGAGCTATAGCATGTGGCCCGAACTAGGTATTTCAGAGACGCCTTCGTAAGTGCAAACAGTTTAGAATCTGGAAGGTCCACGGCGGTCGAGTCCATTGGGAGGCAAGCACAGAGGACGAGAAAGCCGGTTGAGTCATAGGCGAGTAACACCTTCAAAAGGGATGACAAAACCGGCCAGCCCGTCAGTGCACGAGACAGGCGAAAGCCCAAACCATCTGCAGCTGATCTTCAGGCAAGTTTGGAGATCGCTACATAAACTGACGTGTTCAAGATGTGTGACTAGTCGTAAAATGACCTCATAAGTTGTATATATGGCATGACGATTAACTGACAAGTTTTGCACAGACTCGGATTCGGACAGATCTACGGACCCGCACTCAGCCGGACGGATCGGACTGCCGGAAATGTGGATTCCCAGACTTGCTGTAAAGCCAGCTAAAGGTTTCTTCATAAGGTGTTACAGTGCTTCACGACGAGTTTCTTGCGGACAATATTAATTACTGCATTCTACAGTGTCCGTGAGGTCCACCAGTCTGTTGAACTTGGGAGAAGTAGCATTTCGATGAGGGTGTTCAGAACTTCAGAAACTGGCCTCCAGACTTGGTAGAGTTTTAGAGTGCGTCGATTCACATTATCATACATCACTGATACATTAAACTGCATGGTCCAGAATCATGGCGCGAACCTTCAGTATGTCATCCAATGGTGATGCTTTTCTTCGCTCGCGAGTTCAAATCGAACACAACTGTTTCGGGAATTCGTATTTTTAGCAGTCCCGGGCCGGACTGTGACTAGTAACTTCTATCAACTTGTTTGCTCACTAGCATTAAGACTGTCTAGCTCATCACGAATCTTGCAATACCACGTATACCTTGATGGCCAACACCCGTGGACGAATACCATCGAACTTTCTTGAGTCACTGATTCAATGCCAGCAGTCCGACCATATCCAACATACGCCTTTACATCAGTATAAAATAGACAGTACCAACATTCAAGTGGCCAACAACCTCTCTACAAGTAAAATCAACTGAGCATCATGTTTATCCGCCTCTCTACTGTTCTCGTTATCCTCCTCGGCCTGACGGCCCTTGTCAGCGCTGGAGCGCCAGTGGTAAGCCTCGCCTCGTCTTTAATCGTATCATAATGTCACACAATGTCCACAGGATGCTAGAGCAAAGGCCCTTGTAAGCCGTGCCTCGCGTTAAATTGTATCATACTCTCATACGATGTCCACAGGAGGATGAGAAGCGTAAGACGCCTCCTGTAAGCCCTGCTTCGCCTTAAATCATACTATATTCTCATACAATATCCACAGGATGCTAGAAAGACTGCTATCGTGAGCCTCGCATCGCTTTAGATAGTATCATTCTCATAAATGTCTACAGGAGGACGAGAAGCGCAAGACTCCCCCTGTAAGCCTCTCTTCGCTTTAAATCATACTATATTCTCATACAATATCCACAGGATGCTAGAAAGACTGCTATCGTGAGCCTCGCATCGCCTTAGATAGTATCATTCTCATAAATGTCTACAGGAGGACGAAAAGCGCAAGACTCCCCCTGTAAGCCTCTCTTCGCCTTAAATCATACTATATTCTCATACAATATCCACAGGATGCTAGAAAGACTGCTATCGTGAGCCTCGCATCGCTTTAGATAGTATCATTCTCATAAATGTCTACAGGAGGACGAAAAGCGCAAGACTCCCCCTGTAAGCCTCTCTTCGCTTTAAATCATACTATATTCTCATATAATATCCACAGGATGCTAGAAAGACTGCTATCGTGAGCCTCGCATCGCCTTAGATAGTATCATTCTCATAAATGTCTACAGGAGGACGAGAAGCGCAAGACTCCCCCTGTAAGCCTCGCCTCGCCTTAAATCATATCATATTCTCATACAATATCCACAGGATGCTAGAAAGACTGCCATCGTGAGCCTCGCATCGCCTTAGATAGTATCATTCTCATAAATGTCTACAGGAGGACGAAAAGCGCAAGACGCCTCCTGTAAGCCTCACTTCGCTCTAAATCGTATCATATTCTCATGCAATGTCCTCAGGCTGCTCGCATCACAAATTACTAGGCCGGGGTTGAGGTAAGCTTAGCTTCGCATCAGATCTCACCTTGTCGATCTTACAATGTGCATAGCTGATTAACTTGCATGGTCCTCTTGATGCTGCTTGACCGATGCACTCGTACCTCACTCCCACCAAACGCACAAATGTGAAAGAGATTATCAATAGTTTTGCCGACTTTCAAAAATTGCTGTTTAATGTTGTAATTCCTAGTGAATAACAACCACTGTTTCTGTTTCTTGGCTGGTGAATTCTAGCAAGCTTATCACGCGTACATGCAAGACCTCTAGCCGCGTGTTCAGTCTGACCTAGTCCCGTTTACCCATGTCAGCGCAAGAACTTTGTTCAGGTACACATGGCTCGCAGCATCCGGGCAGATTCGCATACCAGACAAGGCGAGTTATCGCGAAACATACCAAGCAATGACCCTCGGTCCTGTCCCATTGCAAACAATGAACGTAAATGCCAACGCTAACATGAATACTAATACTCCGATTGCGAGTAGCAGCCATGAAGAGATATTGATGATTCAACTAGCCCCACTCCGAGTCGGGGATGACGAGCCTCAGGAGTATGTCTTCGATTTTCAAGACGAACAACTTGCAGGAGAGCCACAGCATCCAGTCAAATGCCGAACAACCACTCGGCTCCAACGTAGAGATATACCCTGTGAGCTGGCTTGCTCAAGTGAATGACTGAATTGCGTATTACTTACTACCGCGTACAGTGCTGCGCTGAGCCAGCGAGGGAAGATGACGATACGCATTTGCATTTCCGGGCCGCTGATACCGCAGGATATTCGACACATGCACCTCCGTGAGTGTCGCAAGATTAGAGCAAGGCCTCCCTTCGATGAGAACCGATTTGACGTCCAAAAGTTCATCGACCATTTATTTACTAGTGCTAGGAGCAGTGACGGTAAGTCCGAGTCTCCCTGCTCCAGATAGGTGCCGGTTACAAGTTGATGGTGTCCGCTCCCATGAGGTTATGATCACACTATTGAGGTTAGTAGTAGTTCGCGAGATCAAGGAAGGTGGTACCAGGGGGATTTTCGGATTCTATGATGTGGCACGGCGAGATGAGTAAAATCGATCTCTAGACTTCTTTTATTTGTTTTTCGCGCTGTCCTGTGGCAAGTTCTCCTGGTGATGGTCCTGTGAGGGTCAAGTTGGAGAGCGAGCGTTACGGGTTGTTTGTTCCCATGATTTCACGTATATCAGGGATTCGCCACTCTTCATGCATGGGATTAACGGAGCCGATAAGGTAAATGGGATATCGCACGACACCAGATCGCGTTGTTCCGAATATCCACGTGGACATGTTTCATCTAGAGAAAGGAATGAATTGAATTGGATTGAATTGAATTTCGAATTACACCATGTTCAAACTTGGACAATCGTCGTCGGTCAAGGGTATAAATTGGGTGTTGGCCTATCACTGTATGCGCGCGCGAAAGTGGGCATAAGCATTATCGAAGCGTGTATGTTCGAGCGTGCTTGAAAAAACCTATTGTGGAGAAAAATGTGCGACATACGATGAGCAGCGACAAACCCACCATGACTGCCTCCAATCACGAGCTGTCTTCTTTCCTCTGAAACGTCCCTTTTAATAAGTTCCCTGACGCTTTCGGCGACATCTTCGAAGTTCATGCTCCCACAGTGCCCGAAGGGTGTCTATTGTGTGAGTAATTAAGTGATGGAGGATTGTAGTCTGGAAGTTGTGATTTGGTAGGGGAGAGAAAGAGCGACATGCATCCTCCAAGCGCTAATGCGACAACAGCCGGAACAAACGCAGTAATGCGGGATAGTGATGCACACTGGTTTCGAGCCACCACCTGTGGAAGCTTTCTTAGATTGGATGAGGAGTGTTTCCGCCGGTGCGCGGGTGGTGATGTATACCAGAAAGAATTTTCGTGCTCTCAGGCGAAGGCGGAGTTAAACAAGACTATTCTTGAAATCACTTTAAATCATCGCCTGCGTATGTTTCACCGCGCTGATCTGCTCGTCTTCGGCGAGACCTTAATTTTGAGCGATGCAACACAACGTTCCGGTTCGTGGAGCTGAGGTGTCTTGGCTATGAATGGTCTGTCGAGGATGTGGAACTGTACGAAATGGTTGCATGATTACGCAATAATATGTCACGGTGGTATGATGTTTGGAGATTAGTTTATGACCATTATTCATTATAGGAATATTATCACTATCTGTTGCATGGGCCATAGCTTCGCGCGGAAGACACGACAGGCGACTCGTCACTGTAAGAATGCGACTAAAGAACAAGTCTATAGAGAGACATAGTAAGAGAGTGACGAAACATAAGTGAAACGGAATACATACCTCAGCGTGATTGAGAGAACCGCTGAGGTATAAACAGAAAGAAACAACGAGTATATAAAGTACAGTAAAGAGTCCGGTATGCCAAAGGATGAAGTAGGAAACGATGACGAAGGAAAGAAATGATGACAAACGATGACGATGTTGAACTTCCTACAGTCACATCAGGAAGATCACCACCAGCGAGACGGGAGGAACCGAAAAACGATGACAAAACAGAAGACGACAAAGTTGCAGTCAAACGCGATGAGGATGAACAGCTGAGAGATGTGTTTCTTGATTATATGGCGAAGATAACGTTCAGAGTTCAGAAATAGGCAGCCCAATTCTTCGTGTATATATCCGCCGTCTTCAAGTTAGACTGGCGGTATACGGAAGTCCTACTACTACCCATTATGGATGTGACGCATACTAATGAGCGTGCACGTCATACAATTACTCAAACTAGAGGTGTCTTTATGATTCCGTGAGTAAAAACCAGAGTAATCATGGATTATAAGTTCATACCTTGCAGTACCAATATATTCGCAATACATACGTAAGTCAAAATCACATCATTGACTAGGTGTAGTACAGTTCATCGTGAATACGCCCCTCAGAGGTAGACACTGCAGATCGTGGAGTGCGGCACCTATAGTGTCATATAGGGACACATCACTCACTGCTAAGAACATACATCATGACGGCACTGATGTTTCGGTCTACGAGAATAGCTTATCATATCGGTCAAGGCATGAATATATCTGATAGTCTGAAGAAACCGGCTTCAGTGGTGGTCCAACATTTGTATAGAAATACTTGCCGACACTCTCATCAGGGTCGCACCAACATTTTCCTTTCGTGTGCACATCTCCCTGTGGACAGTGCTCGAAGGGGTCATGCTGATACCCGATGTCATTGAAGAAGTGAATTTGTTCCTTCTTCGCGAACAGTGCAGCTCCAATGCTGTGAACTGGTGCATCTCCCCAACGCTATCCCAAATGAAACCATGTCCCAAAGCGTGCAAACAAGGCTCACCTCATAATAGAATCCACCCTGCTCATCAAGATATTCGAAGAATTTCGAGTATGCCTCGCCTCGCCAGAAGTCAAGATCTGCGATTTCGAAGTTGCTCCAGACTGGCCACGTGATTTCATTAGCCTGGGGAACGTCGCGATGTGCAGTAACCTACAGTGACACAGACTGTAGGACTCTCCGCCATCATCAGAGAGAAATTCCATCGCATTTCCAGGAGTCACGGAGTCAGGATTAGCATCAATGAAAGCTAGAGGAAGGTGTGATTGAAATCATAGTAAATGCCGAATACGCTTACACTTTACAACGTCCCATAGCGTTGGGATGGTAGCTGGGATTTCGGATATTGCTATGGTAAAGCCTGTCGATGTTTGAGACTAGTTTATGATTTAAAGCATCTTTTGATTTACCATACACCTTCTTTTGGTCTTGCATCATGAGAAAGGGATCATAGTCCACGTCGCAGAAAAGCTGGATGTCTGGCCTGATTGGGGAAGATAAGATCGCATCTCCTTCGGCTGCGTCCACTCACTCGACTCTCCAATAGTACCGGTACTTCTGCAAGAGCTCGTGTCGATAGAAGAACTAAGGACTAGTGAGATGACTTCGCCAAGACGCATCACGATCGCGTACGCCAGAGTTGAAGCGACACATATTCCGGTATCTAGGAGCAGTTAGTCAGAAGCAGCGACGGTAACTTAGCATACGCACGAAACGCTACCTGAAAAATTGTCACGCTACATATACGCTTAGAACTGTAAGGTAACCTACCTCCGTAAATCACATCGTTCTTCACCATGTCATCGCGAGACTTGCTTGCTCGTTCTTCATCAATCCACGATGGTTGATGCCAATGGTCGGATGGGATGAGACCGAATTCGACCGTGGCATTGGTCAAGGCCCGTATGTGGCTTTATGGCCTGTTAGCAGTTTCAAGAATTCGAGCGTAAAGGGGCGCACTCTTGGAAGCTCTGCGTAAAGGGCTCGTCGTTGAGGAAGACATAAGGATACTGGAACTTCCTGTTGAACCTATCCTCGAGTTGCTTCATACTGCTCATGATTCCCCAAAGCTCAGAGTTCCGTACAAGTACGACGATTGAGGCATTCGCTTTGCGGTCTTGTAAGTGCATGGGCGAATCTGGCTTGCAGTACTCGTCGGGCACGGGTATTTTGTAGAGAGGGTTTGACTTTGGACCAGTCCATTTTTCTGCGATATTTGAGATGAATGTCGCCTTTCCGTATTCCTCATACGTAAAGCTCATAATGTAGTGAATTGAAATCTGTTCCAGTGTCAAGCTAGGTAAATTGTCCAGTTGACATGAACACGTACAATAACGCCCAAGACAAGCAAGATGTAACGCATCGGGGTCATCATCTTTCCACGATAGAACGAAAGCCAACTTGATGGTAAATGCAGGAGAAAAATGGAGAGGTAAGACTGCTGTTGGTCACGGTGGAAGCATTATCAGCCGCAAACACCCGTTGCTCAACTGCAGCATGAAAGTTTTTCCCCGATTCAGAGCTCCACGTAGTTTGTCCCCTCCATCTCTTCTCGATGCTCAGTCTGGAAAAGATATCAACACACAAACCGCTACATATCATCGTGCCTGCTCAATATATGTAGTCATGATCGTGAAGATATGCATTACTAGGATCAAGGGCAGAAACAAATAATGCGCGCCACTGGAGCCTGATCGTGTGGATCATAACCTGGGTCTAGATGCATCTTCTCGAGGGACTGACAGACGATGCCATCATGGAATAAAGGAGAAACCGACTTACAGGATGTCGGCATCAAGTCGAAGGAGAATTCTGCAGCGTTGGATGCCACCTATACTATGGCTTCAATCGGCTCTTATTGTATTATGCGTGTCTTACATACACACGAGCGCGTACACACCAGAGATCGCAGCATGGGGAGTACCAGGCCCTGGAAATTGCTCTAGAGGTCTAATGCCGATATTCCGCAGCTCTGCTTCTTGGCGAGTTCCTCGATAGCCTTGTCGCTCAAGGAGGGCGAATGCAGCGAGTGCTTTTACCTTCACATGGATGCGGGGGCTTGTGCAGATTGTCTGTGTTGTGGGTAGCCTTCGTTTGGGTCACGATTTATTTGCATATCAAGAGTCTGAGGGGGCTGGGGCGAGGGACTTGAGACTGGGGTTGCGTGCCCAGATGGCCTGTAGTAGCCACTTGCGCCGGAGTTTGGGTAATTGATAGATAAACTGAATTCATTGGACATGTGTGTAACATATGTGTGGATGATGGGTAGGACCTATAGTGGTCTTCTCAAGATATTATGAGGGCCCGAGTGTTGTGGGCAGAAGTCTGCCATTCTGCCAATGGTTATTGCCAAGCGGCAATTGCCGGCAGTAGGTCGAGGGCCTTTGGGCAGCTGCGCCATGGGAAGGGGAGGGGTAGAACCGTTTTTGCAACTCCGCCAGATCGTTTGAACCTTTTGCTTACACGTGACATCTTCTCGGAGTTTTGCCCTACTAAAACGAAGGTTTTACTCTAAGACGAAGGTATTCAGCTCAAGGACGAGACCGGGACACGCAAATTCGAGCAATAGACAGTACCATTCGTAGCGTGAAGACCTTGTGATGAGAACAAAGGGAGGAGCCTCAGGAGCATCACCCCGATTTTCAAGACGACCAACTTGCAGGAGAGTCGCAGCATCCAGTCGAACTTCGAATGCCTATCCACCATCCCTCGGCTCCAATGTAGAGATGAGATATACCCTGTGAGCTGGCTTGCTCACATGATTGACTGAATTGCGTATTACTTGCTGCCGCGTACAGTGTTGTGCTAAGCCTGGACCAGCGAGGGAAGGTGACGATACACATTTTGCATTTGCGGTCCGCTGATCCCTCAGGATATTCGACATGTGCACATCTGTGAGCGTCGCAATGTTAATAGCAAGGCCTTTGTTTGATGAGAACCGATTTAATATCGAAGAGTTTATCGATCATTTATTTACTAGTGCTAGGAGCACTGAGCAGTGACAGTAAGTCCGAGTCTCCCCGCTACAAGAATCAAGATAGGTGCCGGGCACTGCTGGCTGAGGCGTTGCGGGTTGATGGTGTCAGTTCCCATGATCTCAGGCATAATCAAGCATAGTACTATTGAGATTAGTAGTAGTCCGCGAGATCGAGGAAGGTGATACCAGGGCCTGTATATGATTTGAAATACACCGGAATATGGCAACATTCTCACATACTGACTGTTACACATAGACAGCTGACAAATGGTATAAAAACACCTTCTTGACGTATCTCCACAACCCCAAGCTTGCACGCGGTGATATTAGCCCCACTCAATTCCATTTTATTTTTCTCATTTTATTTTTTAGCGAGTGAGTGTAGATTGCTGTGGGGAACAAGAAATAAAATGATATAATGGACTGCAGGTATGTTGTTCAGCACTCATCATTGCGGAGTTTCAACAATGCGAGCGCGGGGATGCTACTTGTCTCCAGTACCTACAATCATCAATGCATCATACGTCATGGCACATCTACGATGTCTCGGACGCAAGCCCCTAAAGCACCATCAGTCTACAGCTAAACAACTTGAGTTCCTGGCCATTGCACAACTGGCTGCAGCAGAAGATGATGACAACGAACTTCTTGGCCTTGCACTGGCAGCACTGGCCGCAGACCATAGATGGAAATCGCTCAGTAAGAAATATGGCATATGTGGAGAATACAACCACCCAAAATCTAAGGATTTCTTCGATATTCTGCTTGGACACTCTAGTGAAAGACAATTCAAAGCTTGGTTTTGGTAAAGAGACTGTTCACTGATGTGTTCCATCTTCTCAAAGACTAACTACAACTGATCAATAGAATGCACAGAGATTCGTTTTGGCATCTCCACAACTTGATATCTGGTGACCCGATTTTTGTTTCGACCAGCAACCGTCCTCAACGCCCTGTCTATTACCAACTAGCCACGTTCTTATGCCGTTTGGGTGCCGAGAGTGGGCTCAAAACTGCGGGCGTGATGTCAATTGCAGAGGGTTCAGTATACATCTATTGCTATCGAGTTTGCCAAGCAATTCAGAATATCCGAAGTGCTCATCTAGCTTGGCCAGGCGAGCAACGGAGGCAGTTTCTCTCTGCAGAAATGGCTGGCTGGGGTTTTCCTGGTTGTATTGGCATTGCTGACGGCAGTTATATTTGTCTCGAAAACAAACCAACAGAGAATGGGTTTGCATATTGGTGCCGCAAAAAGTTTTATGCAGTATGTCTCTGTATCGTTGCTTAATACTGTTTAATAGTTGAATTCTCGAATCAAATGTTAGATTATTGTTCAATGCCAAAACAAATCTCTGTGCATTCTATTGATCAGTTGTAGTTAGTCTTTGAGAAGATGGAACACATCAGTGAACAGTCTCTTTACCAAAACCAAGCTTTGAATTGTCTTTCACTAGAGTGTCCAAGCAGAATATCGAAGAAATCCTTAGATTTTGGGTGGTTGTATTCTCCACATATGCCATATTTCTTACTGAGCGATTTCCATCTATGGTCTGCGGCCAGTGCTGCCAGTGCAAGGCCAAGAAGTTCGTTGTCATCATCTTCTGCTGCAGCCAGTTGTGCAATGGCCAGGAACTCAAGTTGTTTAGCTGTAGACTGATGGTGCTTTAGGGGCTTGCGTCCGAGACATCGTAGATGTGCCATGACGTATGATGCATTGATGATTGTAGGTACTAGAGACAAGTAGCATCCCCGCGCTCGCATTGTTGAAACTCCGCAATGATGAGTGCTGAACAACATACCTGCAGTCCAATATATCATTTTATTTCTTGTTCCCCACAGCAATCTACACTCACTCGCTAAAAAATAAAATGAGAAAAATAAAATGGAATTGAGTGGGGCTATTGCTTCCCTCATCATCACCCCAATTAGCTGAATATGAATACGAATTTCTGAATCTGGCTGTATTTGACAGGTTCACTCTAATGTGCATTTCAAGGACCCTAGCACATTAATGACAAGACTATACAAAACTATAGCCTGTAGCCCGAACTAAGTATTTCAGAGATGCCTTCATGAGTGCAAACAGTTTGGAATCTGGAAGGTCCACAGTGGTCAAGTCCATTGGCAGGTAAGCACAGAGGACAAAAAAGCCGGTTGAATCATAGGCGAGTAGCGCCTCCAATAGGTCGGATGACCAAACCAGCCAGCCTGTCAGTGCACGAGACAGACAAACTTAGCCCAAACCATCTGCAGCCTTTCAGGCAAGCCTGAGGCCAAGCTTGGAGGTCGCTACATCAATTGACGTGTTCCAGATGTGTAACTAGTCGAAAAAATGAGCTCATATGTGGTATGGCATGACAAAGTTGAAATCTAACTGATAAGTTTGGCACAGATGAACAGATCTACCAACCTGCATGGAGACTGCCAGAAATTTGGATTCCCAGACTTGCTGTAAAGCCAGCCGAGGGTTTCTTCATAAGGTGTTGCAGTGTCTCATGACGAGTTTCTTGCGGACAAGATTAATTGCTGCATTCTACGGTGTCCACCAGTCTGTTGAACTTGGGAAAAGTAGCATTTCGATGAGGGTGTTCAGAAGCTGGCCTCCAGACTGGGTAGAGTTTTAGAGTGCGTCTTTTCACGCTATCATACACCACTGATACATTAAACTGTGTGATAGTCTAGAATCATGGTGTGAACCTTATATTATCCACTTTCTTCACTCAAGTTCAAACCGAACACGGGTTGCAGAACAATTTGTAACTACTTTCAACTTGTATTTTGCGCTCGCTCACTGGCATTAAGACTGTCTAGCTCATCATGAATCTTGCACTACCACGTATACCTTGATGGCCAAAACCCGTGGACGAATACCATCGAACTGTCTTAGTCATTGATTCAATGCCAGCAGTCCGACCATATCCAACATACAACTTTACATCAGTATAAAACAGACAGTACCAACATTCAAGTGGCCAACAACCTCTCCATCAACTGATCATCATGTTTATTCGCCCCTCTACTGTTCTCGTTGTGCTCCTCGGCCTGTCAGCCCTTGTCAGCGCTGGAGCGCCAGTGGTAAGCCTCGCCTCGTCTTTAATTGTATCATATTGTCACACAATGTTCACAGCATGCTAGAGCAAAGGCCCTTGTAAGCCTCGTCTCGCCTTGAATTGTATCATGTTGTCATACAATATTCACAGGATTTTGAGAAGCGCAAGGAAACCCATGTACACCTCTCCTCGCTTTAAATTGTATCATACTCTCACAATACAATGTCCTCAGGCTGCTAGGACTGCTATCATTGTGAGCCTCACATCGCTGTAGAGACTCATGCCTCTCATTGTGCAATATGGCAGTTTTCACTGGGGAGTACATGGCACGAACTTGTAGCATCACTCTGTGTGCTACCTGCAGCTATCTCTATATGAGGCGCAGCTTTCCCGCACAACGCGCGCCATGCGCGCGTACCTTTCCCGCGCTTCACGATGTATATGCGCGCGCGCTTTCCCGCGCTTGAGCGCCCTATAGCGCCAGCCATCCGGAAGCATCCATCCACTGTCCACCAAGTTCCCTAGTGCGTATATTTCCATTTCTCACATTTGCATATTGTTCCATCTTTATTTTTATCATGGACCCTTACTTACATATATCTTTACATACCTTACTCGGTAGTGCTTCGGCTCCGCATGACAGCGCTTAGGCGCCATACTTAAGCGCCAGCAGTACATACTTACTTACAGACTTACTCTCCCACCAGAACGACAGAGGACTTACTGGTCACTACCCACTATTTACCTAGCAGAACATAGTAGAAATCTATTTGTTTACACCTTGCATCTCCCTTCTCTTGTCTTACATCATATTATCACCTAAGCAAACTCACTCTTACTCTCTCTTGTTTCCGCATACACGCGCGCGCATTCCCGCGCTTCGCGCATTCTCGCGCCTTGCGCGCACCTGCGCTTTCCCGCGCTTCGCACTGGCCAACCAGTAGCGCTTTCAGCGCATACCTCTAGATCCTTGCTGCACTCGCTTCCCCTTTAGGGTCGAACGCACTTGTCATCTCAAGTATAGCAGACTAGGCAACGCACGACCTTACAACAATTATAGATACAGTCAGGAGCACTGTTCGTGCCTCGCTGTATCGTCGAACCTTCATCGCCTTCAATCATATCACGTTCTCATGCAATGTTTCCAGGATGACGACAACGAGAGGCGCAGGGCAGCCCCCGTAAGCCTCTCCTCGCTTTAGATTGTATCATACTCTCATAACATAATGTCTTCAGGCTGCTAGGACTGCTATAATTGTGAGCCTCACATCACCTTTGATCATATCATGTTCTCATGGAATGTCCCCAGGATGATGATGACGAGAAGCGCAAGTAACCCCCTGTAAGCCTTGCCTCTTAAATTGTATTATATTCTCATGCAATGTCCTCAGGCTGCTCGCGTCACAAACATCAGAAGATGCCAAAAAATCCTGGACCTCACTTATCCACCTGAGGAGCCTGAATTCAGCATATCAGTAACTTCAGACATCCAGATTTCTTCTGGAATCTGTAGCGTCCATTTCTGAATTCAGTCATCCAGTTATTCAGACTGATTAGACTTTCAGTCATTATAATCATCCAGTATATCAGATGTTCCAGTGAGTTCAACCACTCAGGTCATCAGCCATCCAGTTGTTTCGACATTCCAGACTCATCAGTTCTTCAGTATACTAGGATGATCGGCATAGCAGGTATTCAGTTGACCAGGCTATCAGGTATTCCAGCATAACCAGTAGACCATTATTCCAATAGAACAGTAGCCCAGTAGCTGAGTATTTCAAGTCCACAGTTCTATAGTAGCCTAGTAATCTAGTAGTCTAGTAGCCGAGTATTCCAAGTTCATAGTTCCATAGTAGCCTAGTAATCAAGTAATCTAGTGGTCTAGTAGCCGAGTATTCCAAGTTCACAGTTCCATAGTAGCCTAGTGTTTCAGTAGACTAGCTTTGCAGGAAATCAAATATCCCAATGATTTAAGCATTCCACAGTGGCAGTCAATTCTCAAACAACAGTCTATCAGTCTGCCCAAGCACCAGAATACCAAACAAAACAGTCCATTCATAGCTGTAGTAGACCTGACCATACAAATTTCTAACCTACTACTCAGACTTGGACTCGGACTTGGACTTGGACTTGGACTCGGACTCGGACTCGGACTCGGACTCGGACCCGTAACATAAAGCCCTTCCTGATAATCCTGCTCCACCTGTGTAACATTGTTGAGCTCGTATGGACTTGGGCTTATGGGCCCCAATGAAGTGCGCAGCTCCTTCGAGTATTTTCATCCATGTGTGAGGTTTGAGTTTGTCGATGGATTCAAGGACCTCTTGTGTTGGAAGATTCCACATCGCCAACAAAAATTTATCATTGAATGAGTCCTGGACTAATTCACCTGTAGCCCATTGCTTCCATGCTCTCTCGACCTTGTGAATACACGTGAGACAACTGTCGAGGAAGACATAAAACAAACATACCGCGACAGTTGCGAGGGCAAGTGCAGCTTTGGGGGACGAGGTCTTCCAGAGGCCATCAGGTATCGCAGCTATACTTTCGAGATAGAAGGCAAATGTATCGAGGATTGTCTTGTGCTGAAATGGCCCCTTCCCTATCTAAAACACCAGTTAATGAATTTGCTCAGTTGAGAGCTAGCCACTTACTGGATTCTCAGAGTCGCTCTCGTCAACATTGGCCCACATGAATGGGAAGATCGGAGGTGGAGCGTTTCCTCTGCCTTCATCATCATGAAAGGCCTGAGTTTGGGGGATGGCCCATTCAACGTATGCTTCAATTTCAACGGGTGTATGAAAGCCTGTGACCTGCTGTGAGATGAAGGCCATCACGGCCTTTTCGCCACATGTTGCGAACATGCTGCGCCAGTCGTACGTGCATTGCTTGATCTGCAGGAACATGAGTAGTGAGAACATGGAAAACAAGCTGCTTACTAGGAAGAACACCGGATCATTCTTCTTCTGGAGGGTGTGTGAGTGACCTGTAAAACAACGGTCCCAAAGTTGTTGCGCATCTGGAACTCGATCTGCTATATCCCAAGGCTCTTCAAATTGTGCAATGAGCTCGAACCACATTGGCGTAAAAACCGTTGAAGGTTCAACGATACAGCGAGGCACGAACAATGCTCCTGACTGTATCTATAATTGTTGTAAGGTCGCGCGTTGCCTAGTCTGCTATACTTGAGATGACAAGTGCGTTCGACCCTAAAGGGGAAGCGAGTGCAGCAAGGATCTAGAGGTATGCGCTGAAAGCGCTACTGGTTGGCCAATGCGAAGCGCGGGAAAGCGCAGGTGCGCGCGAGGCGCGGGAATACGCGCGTGTATGGCGCGAAGCGCGGGAAAGCGTGCGCGTGTATACAGATATGAGAGAGAGTAAGAGTGAGTTTGCTTAAGAGATGATATGGTGTAAGACAAGAGAAGAGAGATGCGAGGTGTAAACAAATAGATTTCTACTATGTTCTGCTAGGTGAATAGTGGGTAGTAACCAGTAAGTCCTCTGTCGTTCTGGTGGGAGAGTAAGTTTTTAAACAAATATGTACTGCTGGCGCTTAAGTATGGCGCCTAAGCGCTGTCATGCGGAGCCGAAGCGCTACCGAGTAAGGTATGTAAAGATATATGTAAGTAAGGGTCCATGATAAAAATAAAGATGGAATGATCAGCAAATGTGAGAAATGGAAATATACGCACTAGGGAACTTGGTGGACAGTGGATGGATGCTTCCGGATGGCTGGCGCTATAGGGCGCTACAGCGCGGGAAAGCGCGCGCGCATATACATCGTGAAGCGCGGGAAAGGTACGCGCGCATGGCGCGCGTTGCGCGGGAAAGCTGCGCCTCATATAGAGATAGCTGCAGGTAGCACACAGAGTGATGCTACAAGTTCGTGCCATGTACTCCCCAGTGAAAACTGCCATATTGCACAATGAGAGGCATGAGTCTCTACACCGTCCTAAAATGACGAATTGTTCCAGGTGGAAGATCCTCGTTCTGAAAATTTTGGCTCAGTTGGCATTTACAGTGGCGCATCTTTCCTTGGACATGAGCGGTGCTGCCACTTCGATCAAAGTCTGTGTCATTATCACGGTCTGTGGCATTGTCATCAGCTTCACAGGTCGCTAGTCCACGTCACATCGAAGACTTCTGCTTTGACTTGGCGTTAGCCGTGGATGATGTCTGTGAATTTGAACTTAGATGATTAAGCATGAAGGGGACATCACTTACCTTGGCAATGGCGAGGGCCATCATACCCTGTAAGTTTAGTGTAAAAATGTTAGTTTGTATTTGCGCATGTAAATGAATACAATTACCTTTGACTGGGCGCTATTTGTGGAGAGCTTATCTTGTGAAATTTGAATACATGTCTTGAAGGCATAGTGCTTGAGGGACTGGACACTACGTTGCCTGGAAGAATTGGGTTTAAGTTGTATTTTATGCTCCATAGTTTTGCGGTTGTTCCTGTCCTTGTGCCTCAAGTCACAGTCTTCCCCGTTATCCATACTGACATCCCTATTCTCCTTCACAAGAGTATCACTCCAATCACTAGCGTTATCGTCAACGTCGCTGGGGTTATCATTGTTGGGACCCTCAATGTCGCTGGGACCCTCACTGTTGCTGAGGCGATTGTCAATCTCAATGGCATTATTGCCAATGCTGTCAACGGTGTTATTAGTATGATCCATATCGTGATTGGAGCTGGGCTCTGGGTCGACTTTGGATCTCTTGCTAGGCTGGGCAGACATTGGGGCGTCCATGTCAACATCAGACCTGAACTTAGAGTCACTGTTCTTGAGCTGAGTGGACGATGGGGCATCATTGTCAGAAGAATCGAGCAGTACGGTGAAGCGAAAAAGTGACAGTGGCACTGTCCGTCGTGCGGTTCCTTGTGTCTTGCTCTCCGATAAGCTCTGTGATGATGTCCTATCTGCACCGCTTAGAGACGGATCAGGCCATACTCGATCTCCTTGCTCCTTCGACACACTTGACGAGGTGGCGGGCCATTCTGGTATGTCATCAGTACTCGTTTGCCTCTGTGCCTCCCCTACACTGCCTCGAGGTGAAACACCACATGTTGGAGCTCTTTGAGATGACGATTTCTGCTCCATCTGAGATAAGGCAACAGTTTGAAACAAATTGACGCGACCTACAGAAATAATTGGCTTCTGCGCCTTGATGATTTCGACGTCTGGAGGAACATCAGGGAGATCAGGATGATCATCAAGTCCTGAGAAGGGATTTACTGAGGTGTTCCTGCCTGAGTTTGTGAAAATATACTAGATGTGTCAGAAAGATGCCTTAAATCACATACCTGATGTGCATGAATCTGCGGACAAGCTGTTTGGAGCTGGCTGTGAATGCTGAACTAGTGAAGCTATTTTTCTGTAGGGAAAAGCAGGTTTCTTGTTGTGATTTGGCATGCTAGCTTCCACAATGGAAGACCAGCCAGGGATGACACCAGATGTAGCTGGTTGAGAGGTAGAGTGAAAGGTTGACACTGCTGAGGCTTTAGTCTTTTTGGAGGGACGTCATCTAAAATAGTTGATTGGTGCGCGTATAAGGTCCATGGTGGTAGTGAGGGCAATTCATGTTTAAGCACTGATTAATTTCAAATAGAGATAGCTTACTCAACGTCATCAAACTCTGAGTCATTGAATGTGCGTTTGGTGAGCCTCACATTCTCCTCGCGACTATCCTTTTGACTTTGCGTTGCACAATTCCCATTTGCAGTGTCCTTGAGGCTTGCATCATCATCTTGATTCATCGTGGTTGTGTCTGTGGTGTGTGATTGCAATTAACAGTAAACAAAAGTAAGGTGCACACTTACCCCTTGTATGATTCTGAGTCATCAGTTTTGTTGTCTTCAATGGTCTGGTTGTTTTCAGCACACTGGGTCCACACGGTTGACGTGCCTCCGCTCTATCTTGAGTTTCTTTGGCACGTATCGCCTCCTCCATCTCGACGACATTGTTGGATGTCTTACCCTTACTCTTTTTCTTAAGGTCAGCTGCCTTTTTCTTTTCCTTGAGGATCTCGTCTCGCGATCAACGGAGAGGCGGCCGGTCGACTAATCCTGGGTGAGCATGCTTGTTTGCTTTACGAGTGTCCACCATGCTGATGTGTCTATGTGCAGTAATTTAATGGTAAAATAGCAAGTTTGTTTGCTGACCTACTATATACATGTGAGTGTGGAAATTTCCAGTATCAAGTCCTAATTTTCCCCGTCAGTTTTTGGTTTATTTTATTGCAAAGTCGGCTAATTAGTAACCCAGTGCTCCTCAGATCAACGCAAGCCTCAAGTACAACACTTGCGAAGTCACTTCTTGTGACAAGAACACATTGCATACATTTATTCGGTATGTAACTAATATTCGTCAAAAACACACATGAAACTAATTGCCCTCGCCGGTGTATAGGGCATAGGTAATCTCCATCTTGCGCGGATAATGCCTCAACGACCTACCTACCGACCACGCAAGTTTTTCTGCACCAACCCTATCAATGCTCAGTGTCGCAAGGGATTTTTGACTCATGCAGGCCTCGCCAACCACAGAAACACTGTGCACACCAATTTAGTACTACCCCCTTCTCGTATCCCTCAACACCAACCGCAGCCCACGGAGCATCATCACTTCGACAACAATGTTGGTCAACAACCCGACACAGATGTCGATAGCAGGAGCGACTCCAACAATGCACCTCCGCTGAATGCATACTTTGTACGGCACTCTGTGATTGATGGTAAGTAATCGTTAGTGACTATTGTCTGGTCCAGTGGCTGACCATTCATTGTCCATACAGGAACTCCTTGTGATATGGATGGCAATGACCTCGATGGATCACAACCTCTCCCTCACGAGAAGCCAAAATCACCATGGCATCCATTTTCCAATCGAGGTCACTTCTCCCTCGCTGATTTCGTCTTTTGACATAACGAAATGCCGGGGACTCAGTTTGACGAGCTGATGCACATCTGGGCCGAGGTCAATGGGAGTGAGGGCGGAAGTGGGAAGCCCCCTCCATATGCTAACAAAAAAGACCTCTATGATACCATTGATGCGATAGATCAGGGCGACGTACCCTGGCAGAGCCTCACCGTCCAGCATGGCGACGCGAACAGTCTCACTGGTGACCCGTCAGCACCTCAATGGAAGCTTGCTGAATATGATGTGTGGTTTCGGGACCCACGTATGTTGCTGCGCAACCAGTTGTCAAACCCTGACTTCAAGGATGGTTTTGACCATGCTCCACGCCAAGTGTATGGTAACAACCATGAGAGGGTCTTCGGTGATTTCATGTCTGGAAATTGGGCGTGGAACCAATGTGTATGTTGAATAGCTAGCAATCCTATAATGTATACTAACGACCTCTTAGAATGAACTGTCAGAGGACCCCGAATGTCACGGCGCAATGTTCGTTCCTGTCATCTTGGGTAGCGACAAGACGACCGTGTCAGTTGCAACTGGAAACAATGAATACTATCTGCTGTACATTTCAAACGGAAACATATGTAACAATATTTGACGCGCTCACGTTAATGCTGTTAGCTTGGCAGGGTTTTTGGCTATCCCTAAATGTAACTAGTAGTTCGTGTACTATTGGACAGACAGTTTTGATAACCATTGTCCTTCTCATTCAGCTGATCGAGAACATCAAAATGATCAAGAATTTCGCGACTTCCGCTGTCACTTGTTCCACAGGTCACTGAAGGCAATTCTCTCATCACTTCAACCCGCAATGACTACACCAGAGGTGACATTATGTCCTGATGGACATTACCGTCGCGCAATTTATGGGCTCGGACCATATATCGCCGATTACCCCGAGTAATGTTTACTTTCCTGTATTGTTCAAGGCTGGTGCCCGAGGTATGCAACAATGTCTCTATACTGTTTATTTTTTTCAGATGCTGATTTTGCGGTTTTGATTAGGTGTACTGCCTCAAGAAAAGACTTGGATGAGAAGAATGCAGGTCACCTCTGAACACATGAATTCACTGAACTATTGAGGGACACGTATGCATGGAAAGTGTTATGGGACAACTGGGGGATCGTCGATGATATTATGGTAAGTACTACTATCTCACCTCCGACGAGACATTGCCAATTCATTAAGTGTTTTAGCCATTTACAGCCTCATTTCCTCAGGCAAATATTCATGAGTTGTTGTCACCCGATCTGCTCCACCAGGTGATTAAAGGTTTGTTCAAGGACCACCTTGTTACCTGGGTCGAAAAATATTTGGCGAAGACATTCGGAACATCTAAGGCTGCAGCAACGATGGCTGAGATAGATCGAAGGTACGTATCTCAATCAAGCTACTATATGTGATGTACTCATGTGCTTCTATCATATCAGAGTTTCTGCTGCTCCGTCGTTCCCTGGTTTAAGACGCTTCCCTGAAGGTCGACACTTCAAACAATGGACAGGTAATGATTCAAAGGCCCTGATGAAGGTAGCGGTGTTGATTCACTATGATAGCTACAGTTGAACTAATATACTATTATTTTGTTATACTAGGTATTTCTTCCTGCGATTACCGGCCTTGTTCCAGATCAAATGGTCCGAGCCATTTCCGCTTTTATGGAATTTTGCTATCTCACACGTCGTTCTACCCTCAGTGAGGCTGACCTAGATGCACTGGACGATGCTTTGGCTCGGTTTCATAAAGAGCGCAACATTTTCATTGACTCCGGTGTCATGCCAGATGGAATATCACTTCCACGCCAACATGCCTTGACACATTATCAAACACTTATAGAGCTTTATGGTGCCCCAAATGGCTTGTGCTCGTCGATCACGGAGTCGAAGCACATCAAGACCGTCAAGAAACCCTGGAGGCGCTCGAGTCGTCACCTACCTTTAGGTCAGATGCTCTTGATCAACCAGCGACTCAATAAACTTGCCGCATTCAAGTCTCACCTTGCTGCCCACGGATTCCTAAACCCAGCCTCATTGGAACCTGCTGACATTGATCAAGGTGACTTCGAGGATCCTGATGATGAGTTTGATCCTGAGGAGGCTCATTTTAGAGATGACTCCAATCTTTAAGATGTTGAGCCAGATACTGAACTCACTAGGATTCAAGCATCTGTAGAACTGGCCCAGACTCGAGGTAAGAGCACCGATGATTTCTCTACTAGCAATATAGTACTTATGAGAGTACTCAGCAATGGAGTACCCTCATCGGCTTCCCAAAATTGCTGCATTTATCAACTGCCTGAATCTTCCTGAGCTAGTGGGCCGCTTTCTATACAATCAGCGCAATCCAAATGCTTCCATTCAAGCAGCTGATATAGTAGATGTCAGTGTTCTTCCAGTTATCAAGGGGAGAGTAGATGTCTTCAACTCGGCTGTTGCAACATTCCACGCTCCAAGTGACATCTGTGGAGTTAACACAATGCAGCGCCAGCATATTCACAGCTGCAGGTCTTGGTACAATGGTCCTGCTCGACATGACTGTGTATTTGCTGAAAAAGACCCCTCTCTCCCCGGATTTCAGGGCCTATATGTCGCTCAAGTCATCCTCTTCTTTTCTATCACTTATCGTGGTCAGCTATATCCATGTGCGTTGGTTTGTTAGTTCGCTCCTATTGGCAATGAGCCATGTAAATCCACTGGCATGTGGATGGTAGAACCTGAATTGGATGACGACAGCGGTGAGCGGCTTGTGTCCGTCATTCACTTGGACAGTATCATGTGTGCAGCACACCTGATAGGTGTTTATGGTTCACAAGACATTCCCCATCATCTCAAACACACTGATTCTTTGGTTGCTTTTTCAGCTTACTATGTTAATAAATTTTCAGATTATCACGCTTATGAAATCGCTTATTAACCACTAGGAGACTGTACACTATATGTTGGTCTTCCTTACTATACTACTATTCTGTACAGACTGTACTATGCTCCACAATAGTCTCCTCACAAGTGCTGGCATGCTGGACACGGCAAACTCCGCAACTCCTTTGACAGCACGGCTCGGAGCTTCTGAAGCCGCATTTGTATATATATAAGCAAGCTAGCACATAGTAAGGTGCCAATCAGGCTTATCATGCCAACCTCCCTTACTCTACCACTCAGAGCACAGAGTGTTTACTATGATTGCAGTCAAGCATGGAAATCTCAGCCCTCCACACCACAGCAAAAACAATACTCCCCAACAAGCGGCCCTCCACTGGTCAAACATCATTCAACACCCTCGGCAAACTGCTTGGCCATTCAATCTAGTACAGACACCTGCGCACAATTTGAAACTAGTCTTCAAATTTCGACACTCAGAGAGCCATCAGTTCATGAAATCAATAAAGGTGGTAGGTTTTTTACTGTGTGTAGTGTTGTATCCTTTGTTAACCTTCTTAAACAGTTTGGCGCAAGAAAATCGTTGCTGAAATCAGAGGGCGAAGACATGGAGTCCACGATTCCCAGGTATGAGAATATTCACACGATAATTTTGCACAGGCCTGGGCTGACTCGTGCAGAGCTTCTCCCATGTGTCAATCAATGACTATGAATATATTGCGGAAGCCATCGCCAGTGATGATGATCAGTACAAGTAAGTACTAGTATTATCCGATAATCGCCATCTAACACCTTGCTTTCAGTCTATCATACACCCCCTCATCCTCACAACTTGTTGTAATCCTGCCTAGCCCAATTCACGAGAATTTTCTGATGCCGTTGTGCAAATCCATGGATGCTGTATTTGCATCCATGGGTATCGCCCCAGAATACGGTGAATTCATGATCCAAATGAACTCCACCCTTAACGGGTGTGGGACGTCAGGGTCCCAAGCGAAACCACTTGGCCAGCCTGACATACTTGTTGAGTTCCACGATAAAGAAAGCGAACGGCTACAACTGTGGGGAACTGAGGTGTCCTACTCTGAGACACGAGAAGATGTCTTATTCAAACTCCAAGATTATGTCGACGGTGCCCTGAATATTGTCGCCCTCACGTTGTTCGATATCAAGGAAAATATACGACACTTACCGCCAAAGGAGTCATCAAAGATGTTTGATACGTTGAACGAGGTGGAGTTAGTAGTGCCATTCCAAAAGTGGATTCGCAAGTACAACAAACCATTTCCCAGACTGGTCACCGTGTTTCACCACAACTGGGTGTCCGCAGTTACAGTCACTGTCACTACGTGGCTCCGTCGCCCTGCCGGACAACTTGATCTGAATGACCACGATAATGAGTTTTACCAATGTGCGGTGAGTGGTCTCCCTCATCAAGTAGTATCGTCTGACATCAATAATAGGAGCTGACTCCAAACGCTGACACCACCAGCCTTGCAAACGTTCAACGTTTGTTTCAACACACCCTGTTGAGAATTCAGGATATGACCCTCAATCACATTGATCAGCTGGCAGCCGAAGATGCTGCAGAGGAGTCTAGCAGTGACAAGTCCAACAGTGACAAGTCCAACAGCGATGAGTCCAACAGTGACGAGTGCATTTTTTCAAAAATCATGCTGCTGATTGCTTACCTCGTCTTAATAGACCCTCCACAGCTGTCGTGGACCCTTCACTACTGGCTTGTCGCACATGGGTTCCTCTGGCGTTGCTCTTCGATTGGGAGACGGTGATGCCTTACTTGCAGAGGGGGTTGAAGCAGACTGGATACGATCGATATTCCTCTTGGCATGAGAATCTACTCAAACACAAGGCACTGGAGATGGAAAATTCGTTGGGTGGTGGATCGACCAAGAGGAGCAGGAAGGTTTGACGACCACGGCATACTGCAGCCCATCACGAAAGAATGCCAAATTGTAGTTCCAGCCGCGTCTCCGTTACATCATTTTTTCATCGCTTTTTTCTTCATTGTTGTGTCGCGCATTGTTCTACTACTAGTACTATAACTGTTGTAGTACTACTGTAGTAGTAGACTCGGACACTGTCCGAGCCCATGTACTATTCTTGTCACTGTTACTACTAGAATCATGATGACGATCTTCTTGCATAGTATCAGCAGCTGAGTGTAACATGGTCAGACCGCCGCCGTGCATAACCGTTACACCAAAAGGTGAAATACTGAAAGCTTATGTTTCAGTATCAGTGACGGTATATGTACTGATTATGAGAACTCAGGTAAGCCAGCGTGCTTACACTGAGGTGTCAATATCTGCTTTAAGACTAGTACTAAAATCTGGGAGCTCTGCAAAACTAAATGTCTGAACTACTGGGTGTGCTGGGCGACTGAAATGCTCCTGTATCGTTGAACTACTGAATGACTGAATGTATCTGAACAATCTGGGACATCTGGACAGGATAATGTCTGAACTACTGATCAACTGATCAACTGATCAACTGAATCAATCTGAACTACCTGAACCACTAAATGTCTGAACTACTTAGTGACTGAGTGAGACTGGGACAACTGAGGGAACTGAATGTCTGGACCACTGTGTATCTTATTGATCTGATTCACCGGGGGGACTGGATGTCTGGACTACTGTGTATCTTATTGATCTGATTTACTGGAAAGAGTCTGATTTCAGATGTTCAGGTACATAAGTTGTATAAGTTGATCCAGGTTTTTTTGACATTTACTGATGAATTACTAGGTCGACGTAAGTCCAGCTTCGCACCAGATCTCACCTTGTTGATCTTACAATGTGCATAGCTGAATAACTTGCATGGTCCTCTCGCTTGATGTTGCTTGACCGATGCACTCGTACCTCATACCCACCAAATGCACGAATGCTAAAGATTTCTTAAATACTCTTGCCGATTCTCAAATTTAGTTCAATTTCTTGACATGTTGTAATTCCTAGTGAATGACAACCATTGTTTCTGTTTCTTGGAGGGTAAATCCTAGCAAGCTTATCACGCCCACATGCATGACCTCGAGCCGCGTGTTCAGTCTGACTGAGTCCCGTTTACCCATGTCAGCGCAAGAACTTTGGTTCAGGTGCACATGGCTCGCAGCATCCCGACGGATTCGCATACCAGACAAGGCAAGTTATCGCGAAACATACCAAGCAATGGCCCTCGCATTGCAAACGATTAACGTAAATGCCAACACTAACATGAATGCTAATGCACCGATTACCAGTAGCAACCATCAAGAGAGATTGGTGATTCAACTAGCCCCACTCCGAGTCGGAGATGACGAGCCTCAAGAGTATGTCTTCGATTTTCAAGACAAACAACTTGCAGGAGAATCACAGCATCCAGTCGAACGTCGAACACCTATCCACAAACCTCTCGACTCCAACGTAGAGACATACCTTGTGAGCTGGCTTGCTCACGTGAATGACTATTACTTACTACCGCATACAGTGTTGCGCTGAGCCAGCGAGGGAAGATGACGATACGCATTTTGCATTTCCGGGACGCTGATCCCTCAGGATATTCGACACATGCACACCTGTGAGTGTCGCAAGATTAGTAGTAAGGCCTCCCTTGGACGAGAACCGGTCTGATCCATCGACCATTTATTTACTAGTGCTAGGGGCAGTGATGGTAAGTCCGAGTCTCCCCGCTCCAGATAGGTGCCGGTCGAGGCATTACGAGTTGACGGTGTCAGCTCCCATGATCTCGGGCATGAGCACACTATTGAGGTTAGTGGTAGTCCGTGAGATCAAGGAAGGTGATACCGGGTCTGTATCCACTCTGAGAGGTGCCGATGGCCCGGTGAGTACTTATGATGCGGTACGGCGAGATGAGTAGAATTGGTCTCTAGACTTTTTTCGCGGTATCCTCTAGCCAGTTCTGTCAGTGATGTTTCTGTGAGAGTTGAGGCCTCACCATTCTTCACAGATGAGTTGATAGGATTTCGAATGACAGCACGATACAGGATCGCGTGGTTCCTGATATCCACTTGGATGTGTATGATCTGAAAGGAATGAATTTAAACTATGGTCAAGGGTATGGATGGGCAAAAGTGCGAAAAGGGTTTACTACTAGGCCATCGGAGAACCGGTGAGAAGACTCTTGACGGTTTCGAGCCTTTTTTTCCGAGTCAGCTCCAAAAGATTTTCTTTCATTTAGTAGGGTAAGTATGCCGCGTTGCCAGCTGGTGTCATTTCATCGTTTGATGATGAAGAATAAAAACAACGATACAACATCGTTCGATAAGAGGACTCATCCGAGCCTCGAGGTGACCGTGTGACGTAATACGAGAAAACGAGGCGTTTAAACTTTAAAGTGCATGATATAAAAGGAAAAAAATGACAAATGCATCCGCGGATTCCGCATGCAAGTTCGCTCTTCGCATCGATGAAACATACGGACAGTTGCTGCGTCCTACGTCCTGAGCTCTTCGACCGAGATTTGGTGTGGCTGACATGTCACAGTACAGTTCTACGAAGAGAGATACAACTGATACCTATGCTACTTTGAAAGTACTTGCGGCCTTACCGCGGAGTTCAAGTTCTTCCGAGTCTTTGACTAAGTATGCTATCACAACGGTTCGGTAGTCTCATTTCCCGTTGACCGGCTGTTTCGCCTTGACCTGAACCGAAACGTGTTGTTTTTAAGCTGCTAGTCTTTTTGGGGCCTGTAACTTGAACTTGACTTTCACTTCATCATCCATTGTTCTGCGACTCAAAGATGTCGACAATCGCTACCATCCCAAAGGTAAGTGCGGTCTGTTCAGCACTCGTCGTATGATCTAAACCAGCGGTGAAGATCAGAGATGCTCTTCGAACGACCTTTCGTAGCGGATTGACACATTCCATACCGTGGCGTCAGCACCAGCTATACCAGCTTGCACGCATGGCGCAGAATGAACGGGAGCTCATTTGCGACGCCCTACATAAAGACCTCGGAAAGCCAAGAACAGAGGTCCTGGCGAATGAACTGGGCAGCGTCATCAAAAGAGCTGTGAAGAGTGCAGAGCGGCTCCCAGAGTGGGTCAAGGCTGAACATCCTGAGGTGATTGACCGGCAGAAGCCATGGAACCCAACGTGAGTGATAGGATGATCCATCAATATAACTGATAATCATATGTACATGTTTCAGGATATACAAGGCTCCGAAGGGTACTGTGTTGATAATCTCGTGAGACGCAAGAACACTGTCTCAATTCCACTTCCTGACATCTCGCTTAAACAGACCATGGAACTTCCCTATGATGCTATCTTTCCAACCTCTCACTGGAGCAATCGCAGCCGGCTGCACTGTCGTACTAAAGCCCTCTGAGCTTGTCCCCACCTTCTCACAGCTCTTGGAGGAAATTGTGCCAAAGTACCTCGACCCAAATGCGTACCGTGTCGTTAATGGTGCTATACCCGAAACTACAAAGCTTCTGGAGCTTCAATGGGACCACATTTTCTACACAGGGAATGGCAAGGTCGCTAGGATCGTCGCCAGCGCTGCGGCTAAGCACCTGACGCCAATGACACTGGAATTAGGTGGAAAGAGTCCTGTCATTATCGACTCAGCATACGATATCGATCTTGCTGCAAAGAGGATATTGTGGGGCAAGTGTCACAATGCAGGACAGGTAAGGTCCAATTTCGAGCTACTCCCTGATGCGGCGTACTGAATTGGCATTCTGACAGATCTGCGTGGCACCTGATTATGTCCTCGTACAACGGGACAAGCAGGATGAGCTGGTCAAGGCATTTCAAAAGCATTATAACGCATTCTTCCCAAAGGGTGCGCTAGATTCGCCATCGTTTGGAAGTATCGTGTCAGATTCGCACTATAAACGCCTCACTTCACTTCTTTCCCGCACAACGGGTGAAATCGTTCTTAAGGGTCGCAGTGACGCTGCGAGGAAAAGACTCGAGCTCACCATTGTCAAGAATGTTGCGGGCGGCGATTCTTTGCTAGAAGAGTCAGTATTCCCTTGTGCTCGAAATGTGATTCTGATGGCATGGTACCCATAGAGAACTCTTTGGTCCGATATTGCCTATCGTGCCCGTGGATTCGCTCGATCAGGCGGTTGACTTTGTCAATGCACGGTAAGCTCTCCTCCCAAAATCTAACTCGTCGACTGATTTATCGCACCAAGATCTCATCCACTAGTTCTGTATGCTTTCAGTGACAACCAGAGCGTGAAGCAACGACGTACGTTTCACTTGGCCGATGACGGTCGGTTCATGCTGACAATTACAATCAAATTTTCTACAACAGTTGTCTCGCAAACACACAGTGGTGGTATTGTTTTCAATGACACCTTCCAACAGCTCGCTGGTATGTTATTGACGTCATCCTTGAATTGGTACTCACCCACATTTATCTGCCAGTGAGTGAACTGCCATTTACGGGAGTTGGCGAGTCAGGCTGTGAGATTTCCATTCCACTGGGCTAGGACCGCCGCTGACGCTTGCCTATGACAGACGGATACCAGTTTATGAAATACACATATGATACATTCACGCAGCTTCGTAGTTCTATTGACATGCCGAAGGAGTGAGTTCTGGTTTTGTTTCGGTTACCTTTGAACTGAACACGATGATGATGGATAGGGCTGAGGCGAGCCTGGCGGTGAGGTATCTGCCTCACTCGGAGGAGGCGGTAAAAGCACTCACTGATGCTGTGTATACGCCTATTCCACCAAGCCGCTTGTGAGGAGGGATGATGTAGCTGCAATTCGAACATTGTTGCATGTGTAAGATATGGGGGATGATAATTCTATACCTTGGGTTGTACTATTTTACCTTACAATACCCGACGGTCAATGTCACAACATTGTCACAAACTCCCATCGAGATTTGAAATTCGACTATTCGCTTTTCACTACGAGAAACCCTTGCGGCATGGCATTGGCACCAGTCCAACACCATTCTAAGTTTTCTGATATCCGAAGCTACCCGAGTCCTGCGTTAAACCAATGACTTATGATTGGTTGCCTAGTACTATGTAACCCAGGAAAGGATCAAACCGAGATAAGTATTTTGGCTACGTTAACCGGTACGCATAAGTGACGTTGCGCCTCCGAAAGTAGATTGGATTTGGGAATCAGTAACGGCGTATCACAATTGAGACAACCTACTTCTATCCAGTGATGTCGTCTTAAACGACGCCAGCTGCGGGTGAAGCTACTTCATATCCGATATCTTCAAGCGCCAGAAAGATAGTATCTTCAGGTTCCCGTCCAAATGTTGATTGCGTTGTGCAGAACGGGCTAATTCTTCTCACTCTCCGAACGAAGTGCACAAGATATATGGGGTGATTTCTGCTCTGTTCCTACTATACGAGGTATACTCAACACATTCAATCTTCAATCCCCGTTGCGCTTACTATGATGGATTTCCAAGGAGATGTGTTTGCCTACTGGGGTCGAAACATCATCGAAGATTATAATGACGCTCTCCTTCAAAATATCTCCCTCGCCCCAACTGCTTTTGAAGAGACTTCGCAGCTACCTGCACTATCCAAACATGGTTATGGCCCGCCTGGTACAGTTGGAATTCTAGGCGCAGGGGTTGGTGGTCTATACACCGCCCTCATCCTAGATTCGCTGGACATCAAGTATGAGATCTTGGAGGCGTCGGACCGCACTGGTGGACGCCTTCTTACCTACGACTTCCCAAATGGTGGCGAATACGACTACTGTGTATGTTGTTCATTCGACGCTGCTGCGCCAAAGATGCTGACCATGTAAACTCTTGGCTTTCTCGCTCACTAGGATGTTGGCGCCATGAGGTTCCCCCTGCCGAAGAAGGAAGCTCAAGGCAATTACAAGATGGGCATCATGAGGCGCTTGGGGGAGTTAATCAACTACTCAAAGCTCAACAACATCGACGCTGTTGAACCAACTCCTCCGACAACTGTAAATCGTAGGCCATTCACTTGGGGTTCATGCAGGGCACCTTTAAACTCCCGCCTTATCGATTATCATATGACGTCAAAGAGACATGGGCATTTCCTCTACTTTAACAATCAACGTTATCGAGTCTCTCAGACATCGCGCCCTCCTGACTTCCATGCCCAGGAATTGGGTGTGGATCCTCAGTACATTGCCGCAGGAGCTGAGAATATTGTCAAGGACGTCATTAGTCCGTTCGCTAAGGACCTCATGAAAGACTTGGAGCAAAATGTCGATTCGGGCTGGAAAAACATGAGGGAGCACGATGGACACTCCCTTCGCTCGTTCATGTCATTTAAGTACACTCCCACCATCAGCCTCCAAATTCCGCGCACGTCTCTTTCCACCAATACTATCAATTGGTGTGAAGTATTCAATAGCAGCACGGGATCGTTTGACCTAGCCTTAACTGAATGGGTTGTCGACACGCTGTCATTCGGTGATGTCGAGTCGCAGACCTTTGGACACGTAGAATGGAAGTGTTTGAAGTAAGCGCATTTCTGTCTTGGAACTCATGCACAGCCTCACACATACCATTACCGTACCCAGAGGAGGTTCTCAAGTGCTCACCGACTACATGGAGGCATACCTTACTGCTAACGGCACCAAGTCTCTCATCCAGTTCAATAAGAAGGTCACGAGTATCTCTCAAAGTGGAGACGTCGCAATGAATGTTTCTGTGCGCGGCGAATGTACCCCGCGCACATACTCACACGTTATATCGACTATCCCTCTGCCGGGCCTACGGCTGATTGAACTCGCAGGTGCCGGTTTGAATGTGATGCAGAAAAATGCATTGCGTAAACTGCGATACGATACTTCGGTCAAGGTTGGCATGCGATTTCGATCAGCGTGGTGGACCGAACTTTTCGATATTATAGGCGGTCAATCATCCACGGACCTTCCCATTCGAAATATTATCTACCCCTCTCACGGTGCTGAATCTAGCACGCCGTCCACAGTGCTACTTGCGAGTTACTGTTGGGGAAATGATGCAGAACGCTTGGGAGCGCTCATCAACACCGGTAAGATAGAGTATGAGGAACAATTAAAGGAACTCGTGCTGCGCAATCTCGCAGAAGTGCACAACGTGGATTATAGTTTCTTGTTGGATCAGTACGTAGACATGCATGCATGGGACTGGGGCGACAACCCGCTCACCGCGGGTGAGTCTCTGGATATTGATTTGAGCCAATTAATTCTCACTCACTCTGCCACAGGTGCCTTTGCATCCTTTGGGCCCGGGGATTTTAGTGATTTATACACGGCTCTCACCGTGCCAAATGCCAACAAGAGGTTCCATTTTGCTGGAGAGGTCATTAGTACCCGTCATGCGTGAGTGCAAAGCGGTTGGGTCGTTTGGATGATTACAACGTAAAATCAATGTAACTTGCAGGTGGGTCGTCGGTGCATTGGACGGCGCATGGCGCGCGGTGTATGAATACCTGCTTGCATCCGGGCAGCAAGATAAAATTCAAAGATTCTTTGATCTGTGGGGTCAGAACGTAGAGTGGACATGCCAATCTAAACATGGAAAGCACGCCCCAACTGATCCGAACACCATTTTACGAGTTCATATGGGATGCACATATGCTGGTGAACTTGCTGGACAGGTGAAGTTTTGATGATTGGCTCATAGGAACTGGTGCATGTGACGTCCGTTAAGTGCCTATTAGAATAAAGACAGCTGCTCCTTTACATACAGCATCTGCTGGCGTTGTACTAAGTGTATATGTACGATGTCGGTTATCTTACGATTTAAAATTCTCACTGCAGATCCAGCAAGGATGAAAATTCTGAAAAAGATGTTTGAACATGCTACATCAAACTCATCTATTACGGTTAACGTGATCCGCATCCTTAACATCGTATGACTGCAAAAATTGTGCTCATCACTCTCCACAGTATCGCTGTTGCGTAGGGGTATCTCAAGAAACCTGCTGTCTCGCATGAATGAGAGTCGCCAATGTCGGGGTGGAAGAGGAAAAGTAAATTTGAGGTTTCTCTTTTTCTCGTAGGATCACTGCGGCATGTAGAGCAAGCAGTGTGGACTCGGCAGTGGGATGACCATCAGATACGCGAGTTACGGCCAACTTTTGACTCGTTAAGGGCTTGGACCACGGAGTCGACGATACGGCATCACAGCCGCACTAGCCAGCATTGACGATGATAGCTGGACCTCCTTCAGCTGCCCTCTGAATGTCTGAAAATGGTGGAGGTAGAAGAAGCCGAGAAATGTGAGGTGAGACGACATCATCCCATTGCATGGTCAGCTGATGTATTTGCAGAGACCGATATTCAGTAGACTGATCGAAGGCGTTACGAAGGTCAAAGCTGAGCTGCGTAAACTCGTTCGCTAAGGCTGCGCCAGCATCATTCGACATGGGTAGTTCATAGTGGGGTGCGAAGGCGTGCTAACTGGGTCCAAGATACAGCACGGCCTTGCTCGACCAGTTCCACGGTAGTCGTGAGAGAATCGTGTCGAATACTGCATGAAAAACCATCCATGGTAGGGGAGGAAGTGGTCTCCCCGAGGACATCAAAGTAGCGTGAAGAAGACGGTGACAAAAGAGTAACATACTAGTTCAGAAACTTCAAAGAAGTTGCGGATAAATCCTGAACATCTCATCCAGGTCAGACGGGACGCCCCGCATGGCAAGATTGTCGAGAGACACACGCCGATCAGGATGACCGAAGGGACGGAAAAGTAGTGCAGTACCACCAAGCTCAATGGCTTCATCAATGTCAGACGGAACGTACTGTTGCGGGGGTCTGTCTCTAAAGCCGGCAGAAAGACATGGATCGATCAGGGTGACCGAGGAGACGTAGTAGTGCAACTCGATGGAGCTCGATGATCTCATCTCGGTCAGATTGGACACCTGTAATCTAGCTCCGAGGCTAACGGCGAGATTGTTGAGAGACGTGGATTAACCAAAATGACCGGGGGGGTATAGGAGCAACGCAGCTCGATGGGTGCTCGATGTCCCCAATCAGATGCGGAACCCTGCTGCTGGAATCTGTCTCGAAGGCTAAGAGCAAGATTGTCAAAATACATGGATCGATCATAATAAACCAGAGGGTGGAGAAGTGATGCAGCCTGGTAGAGCTTGATGGACTCATTGAGGTCAGATAGGACACCCCACTGCTGTAATCTGTCTCGAAGGCTGTCGGTAAGATTGTTCAGAGACGAGGGTAAATAGGAATGAGTAGGGGGAAAGTGTAGTAGTGCATCCCGATGAAGTTCAAATCGAGGTCAGACGGGTCACCCCAGTGCTTGAATCTCGCGCGCAGACTATTGACAAGATTTTTGAGAGATAATGATTGGAGAAAATCACCAGGAGTAGTGCATCCCGAAGGGTCTCAAGAGCCTCATTGAGGTCAAACGAGGCTCCTCATTGCTGGAATCTAGTTTGAAGGCTATTGCAAAATTGTCGAGAGACTTGGGTTGATCAGGATAACCGAGGGGAGGAGGAATAATGAACCCCGATAGAGCTCAGTGGCTCCATTCATATCATATGGGATGCACCACTGCTCAAATCTATCTCGAAGGCTGACGGCAAGATTGTCGAAAACAATGGATCGATGAGAATGGCCGGTGGGAATGGGAAGTAATGCGGCCCGATAGAGCTCAGTGGCCTCATTAATGTCAGACAGGGAGCCTCGCTGCTTAATTATCTCATGAAGGGCTATGGAAAGATTGCAGAGACACTTTGATGAACGATAGTGACTGGGGGGACGGAGCCGCAAACTCGCGAGTCTTCTGCTGTATTACTGCCCAATACAGCGACTGTCTCGTTTTACTGCAAATGGTGTTGGAATAATGCGAAATTGAATCAATCAGAGTGAATACGCACGCAAAAAGTAGAGTTCAACTAGGACACTGACACACGACCTGGGAGGGAAGTGAGATGGTCAGTTTCAAGGTAACCCAAGCCTTTAACAGCAAGCCACAAGATCGTGTTGAGGCTGAGGCCTGAGGCAGTGTCTGCATGAGGCCGAGATGCATGATGCATGATGGGGCTTTATGGAAGGATGTGAATTTGTGAAAGATGTATTTGCCATCAGTCACGTGTGGCAAAATGAGCTGGTTCTAAATTCTTGGGTCCGAACCTCGTGCTTGCTCAATGAGTCTACGCATTCAATTAATGTCGCACAGGGTCGGGTGGACTACGGTTGATGTCTGTGCCGTACTGGGCAATGAAAATTCGACTTCCGCTATCCTGACGCCCATCGAGTCCTGAGGAGGATCTAAATCCAATAATGCAAAATCTCATTCATCGTGTTTGGGGTGTGTACCATACTACCACCGGAATCTCTCCTATGGTGATGCAATTGTCAGGACTCTTTCAGACCCTCATGTCTCCTGCCAGCTCCTGGCGGATGACAAGCTGCTGACCGTACCCTTCTGCACGTCTTTCAAAGCTTTCAAGAATAACTACACGTGCGCCTTATATCACCGTTATTTTGTTTGAGTTGATTATCCACACAGGCTGTGTTCAAGTTTTATTAGCGCAGTGTCGCAGCATTGGTGCAGCATTTTTCTAGTGTCCAGGTGGCTTTCAAAGCTTCACCTCGAATGTGTTGGACAACTGACGACGTATAGCTCTACTCTTTTGGGTACTAAACGTGTCGCTATAATCCCAAGTTTGTGACAGCCGATAGAAGTAAGGCTGCCTCCCTCCCGTCTTTCCGTGCTGCTCGCCTACGAGTGGGATGTCGACGTCCCCAGTCTCCCCAAAATCCCCAACCTCGAACGAAAAACCTGACACCGCGGTAAAGAACCCGCATGATGTTCACCGCCAAAAGTCAAATATGGACGCAAGGACAAGAGCCATCGCGTACGTATGATATCCCCCTTGTGTCGGGCGCCCACAACTGACACGATTTTTTCTGTTAGTAATGCCAATGCCAAATTGTCAAACCCCTTAAGCGGCATACCTTATGATCGTTTAATGGCGGATGTCGAAATTTTTGCCGAAGAGAGAGGACTGACCCATCTGCTGCCTGAGCTTGAGAAAGGGGCGCTTGTTGCCCAGGATTCCACTTGTATGTCATCATGGGAAACGTTTTTCCCCTAGCTGACTTGAGATTCTTAATGTGCAGGTTATGATCGTTTAGACATATTTTCAGTTGAAGACAAGCGAATTTTAAAGGAAGAGGTTACACACAGGTGGCGACAAACGCCCATGCTGTACTACGTTGGTATCACTATATTTTCGACTATTTGGCATAGCTCATCATTGAAATAGATGGTCGTAATGTCATCACTTGCAGCGGCTGTTCAGGGAATGGACGAGGCTGTTATCAATGGTGCTCAAATCCTTTATCCCACACAGTTCGGCATCGGTAATTCCAACAGTGCGTAAAGGTTATTCTATCGTTCTAATGATCATCACTCATAGATTGTGTGTGCAGACCGCGATTCATGGTTGGTTGGTCTCATCAACTCTGCACCGTACTTGTGTGTGCTTTGTTCATATAGCAGAATATCGCTCCTCATCACTTCACAGATGCTGTGCCACAATTTCTTGTTGGATGACGCAACCGCTCAACCACTATCTTGGGCGTAAAAAGACCATTTTCGTCACTTGCATGATCTCGTTCTTGACATGTATCTGGTCTGCATTGACAAACAGCTGGTGGCACCTTTTCATCGCACGATTCTTCCTTGGTTTTGGTATTGGTCCCAAATCTACCACTGTTCCAGTGTATACTGCCGAGTGTTCACCTGCACCAATACGTGGCGCTCTCGTCATGATGTGGCAGATGTGGACTGCTTTCGGTATTGCTCTAGGAGACCTTATCGACTTGGTATTCTACTTCATTCCAGACGCCCCGGGTGTGACTGGTCTGAACTGGCGTCTCATGCTAGGTTCTGCTGGCATCCCCGGTCTTGTTGTCTGCTTGCAAATCTTATTTGCACCCGAGTCGCCTCGTTGGTTAATTTCCAAGGGTCGCTACGAGGATGCCTTCAATGAGCTTTGTCGGCTTCGTTTCTCGCGCGTTCAGGCTGCTCGTGATTTGTATTACATTCACGTGTTGCTCGAGGCGGAGAACGATATGGAGGGTCGCAACCGTATGGTTGAGATGTTCGCGATTCCGCGTAACAGGCATGCTGCCCTTGCTAGTTGGGTCGTCATGTTCGGTCAGCAGTTTTGCGGTGTCAATGTCATTGGTATGAGATTCGTTTTCGTGATTTGAAATGATGATTAACCTGATGGCAGCTTACTACTCGTCCAACATCTTCCTGGCTTGTGGTTTCACGCAGATTCCGGCATTGACTTCTTCCTTTGCATTTGGAGCACTTAACTGGTTATTCGCCCTCCCTGCTATCTTCACTGTGAGTGATCCTTTTTACAATTGGGGTTTCCATAAATATTGAAAGTTGAAACACTAGATCGACACCTTTGGGCGGAGGAACTTACTTTTGTTCACATTTCCTTGCATGGCCATCTGTCTTCTAATCACAGGGTTCTCCTTCTGGAGTACTTCGGACACAGGGCGTGCAGCTGGCGTTAGTATCGGAATATGTACATCATCCTTTTGGTACTTAAAACTACCGCTGATATTTGCTCCTTCAGACCTCTTTGCGATCTTCTATTCTCCAGGCGAAGGTCCAGTGCCGTTCACGTACTCCGCAGAGGCATTCCCTCTCTATATCCGTGATGTTGGCATGTCCTTTGCCACTGCAACCACTTGGTTCTGGAACTTCGTTCTGTCAATCACTTGGCCTTGGCTTATCTTGGCCTTCGGGCCACAAGGTGCCTTCGGCTGGTATGCAACATGGTGCTGTATCCTCTGGGTACTCATCTTGTTATTGGTGCGCGAGACAAAAGACAAGACCCTGGAGGAGCTCGACCAAGTTTTCTCTGTCCCCCTTAGCACGCACGCCGCATACGGCCTGCGGCAGATACCCTACGGCTTCAAGAAGTTCGTATTGTTCCAGAACCCTGTTCCTGAGCAACTTTATCGGGTTAAGAGCGAGGCCGAGGTGTTGGACACCGGGGACGACGAGAAGGCAAGGAGGGAGGAGGGGGAGGATGTGGATGTGGAGAAGGCAAATGCATGATGAGTTTAGCTGTCATGTGATGACGGCTGACGCTTCGCTTGATCTTCATCTAAGACGGATGTGTTTGATCTATTTATTTGTTGCGGATATCGCATACGCGTGTGGTGTTTTGATACAAGCTCCCGAGGCTCAGTTGTTAGATTGCAGAAATATATTGACCACCCACTTTTTCTAGGCGAGACTCGAACCTTGTGTTGTATAACTGCCTCCTTTTGTCGTTGAAGTCATACAGAATACGTAATTTTATCATCTCAGCAGAATGGCGCTTGTGTACCAGACGCGTGGTGATTAGGCCGGGATAAAGAAATCGGTCAAGTATTCATTTCTGTGTCATGTCAGAAGTATATACAGCTATGTAGCCTTATAGAGATAATCATTTCTTCGAACATCAGTAAGTATTCCTAGGATATATGTGATACAGTGCAGCAACATTTCAAGAAGTCATTGCCCACTGTTCGCAGGTTGTGAGTGTGTCGATTCTCGTTCAAGCTCGAGCCATGGTGATCAAAGTTGTTGCCCACCATTCGCAGCTTGTGAGTGTGTCAATCCTCATTTGAGCTCGAGCAATGTTGATCCAAGTCGTTGCCCACCGTTCGCAGCTTGTGAGTGTCTGTGGCACGAACCGGATAAGCCCCATGTTTAACAAGGGTTGCCATGAAGTTGTATTTATTCCACGCGGACGCAGGCATTGGCGCGGGCCACTCGTGGCGATCTCGTGCAGGTGAATGCTTCGACATCGTGGAGTGCCGGAGAGTTGTAGGTTCGAGTTTATATGTGAAGAAGTCTTTATACTTATCGGGAGGTGCGGTGGCGATGGAACTGCTATCGATGGGTACTTTGGAGGTGGGCATTGATGATATGCGCAACAATTAAACATCTTGTGTCGTGTTGTCCATTGGCGATATACCCGGCCACAGGAACCACGTCGACGAGAGGAAGGCTATTCAAATTTCAAACGACGAGCTAGCTCTGGGAGTGGTGGACGTAAAAGATGTCCATTATACGGCGCTAAGTCACATGCGGCCCATCAGTGCAGATCAAGTTGGACGTAAATGCTAACAGCCAGCCAACCTGCGGGAGTCAAGTCAGGGAACACGACGCTAGTGAACACCGGGAAATGCCGAGTGGGAAATGATTTGTCATGTTAGTTGTTGGATGTACGATGTTCGAGTGAATTTCGCACTTTGAGGATTCTAAAAAGATGATGCTGAGAGAAAAGGACTTGAGGGATACGTTCCTTTTTAGGAAACCACCAACCTCGTACCCACCTCCCCATCACCATGTCTGAAGACGTAGTAATGCAAGAAACTGACAATACAATTGACCAACCACCACCTTCAAAGAAATTAAAATCTTCCTCATCATCTTCTTCATCAAAACCCGCTTCTACAATAAAACCAAAATCAAAACCACAACGTCCCCGTTCTCCTTCTCCAACTCCGCCACCTCCTCCGCCACCCCCTCTACAAACTATCAGACTCCAAATAAATCTAGGAGGTCCAGATAATTATGAAGTCGATATTGCTACTCTGGCAAAGACAACAGGTCAACGTCAACCAACTCCACCTCCTCCAAAAGCAGACACATCTGACTCAGAAGGGGAGGATGACGGCGAGCCAAAAAAGAAAAAGGTAAAATATCACAACACAAATCACCCACATCATCACTGAATAAGGCACCAGAAAAAACATGCCACTTCAGAGTATTACGACGTAAACGACCCTTTCATCGATGACTCAGAGTTGAACATCGATAATCGCACGCATTTCGCTCAGACAAAGCAACAAGGCTTTTACGTCTCTAGTGGCGAAGTCGCTCTTATGAAAGATAGGTATGGTCCAGTCTGATCACATGTCCTGTGTCCTCATTTCTTCTCCGCAGCAGAACCCCCAAGAAACCTAAATCGAAAAAGGTCCCTGTTGAGGGAGGTGCAGCTGCCGGACCTAGCAAGACTGCTATCAAGGAGGATGGGACAAAGGAACATCCTATCAGTTTACTAGGCGAAGACAAGGGCAATAAGAAACGTAAGAACTATACAGTCATAGAGGAGAACGGGAAAAAGAGAAAGGTCGTCGATATCGTACGTCCCTAAAGTCCGCCCAACACCCATCTGCTCACTCCCACCAGCGTGACTTCCATCCCGAGCTCCAATTAGCTATTGAAGACCTAAAGTCTGCCATTGCTAAAGGTCCGTGCTTCTGCATACCCCCGCTTATGACCTCACGTTGTCATAGAATCATGGGACGTCAAGGGCAAGTTCCCACCCTCGATCAAACCCCTACTCGCAGACTTTGCCTTGAAAGCCGTCAACCTCGGTGAATACGATGATGACTTTTTTAATCTTATGCCAGTGCTGTTTCCTTATAACCGCTATACCATGACTGTACGTCGTCTTACATACACTTGAACGCGCTCGCTCACTGGACGGGTCGACCCACAGAAACTCATCAAACGCACGATATTTACAGACCACCTCAAGATCTTGACAGATAGACAGGATGAGCTGCTTCAACAGCTTGCGGGGCTTACGAAAGAGGGGTTCTCGAAGGCACAGGAAGAGTGGGAGAAGAGTGTCGTTGCTTGGGGTGCGTCATTTCCATCTTTCTTGTTCACCATCTTGTCCTTTTGTTCGTCTGTCCTTGTATACTATTCGCGTATACTACACTTTTACCTTGCATCCCATACCTCACCTCACCACTAACACCTCTCACAGAACGCCGCAAAGAAAAGGCCAAGAATGAAAGCGAAGCAGGCGCGGCATCAGCCTCGACGCCCAGTGCAAGTGTAGACGCCGCACACCCCGACGACGGCACAGTGAGCGGTGTCGATGGTGATAACGCCCGTGCCGACGGCGACAGATCCCTCGCCGACGGTGCAGGCACAGACGGTGGAGGACCAGGCCCAGATGGCGACAACGCCGCAGGAACAAACAAAGCAGACGGAACACGTGACGCACATCCCCCTGCACAGAAATATCGGTTGACGGAGGCGATGAAGGTGATTGTGTGGCAGCTTGTGATGCTTAGTAATGAATGTTGTAGGCTTGAGAACGAGAAGAAGTGAGTCCGAGTTCTTTTCATTCGTTATGGAAGTAATTGTTGATGTGACTACGTAGTGATTTGGACGGGAGCAATGCGCTCGTTAGCGAACAGGGGACGAGAAAGATTTTGTATCAGAAGGTGTGTTTTCTGTTTTGATTAGTATGATGAAAGTGTTCATTGGGTGGTGGTAGATTGTAGCGGCATTTCCTAGTGGATGGTTGAATTCGGGCCAGTTATCACGAGAAGGTGCGTTTTACCCGCTCCCCTGTCCTCATTCCTAAACTGACGACGAACACAGTGAGCTCTCTAAAGAAGAAGTACGAGAAAGAGACGATGGAGCAAGAGAACTGAGTTGATGGTTCTGTTTATGTTATTTGGTCATAGTTATGAACTAAAGGACGTTTGAGGCTGTTTTATATGTGGTTGGTATATTATTCGTCTCGTCTACCTTGGTTCCTACTTATTTTGATCCACGCGTTTTGATCCTCACTTGATATTTGCTCCAGGTTTCGTTGTTATGTCCACCTAGCTTGAAGTACTTAGCTTACGCTCTTACTATTGACAACATTATCCTCATTTATTGCTTTTATGCGATTTCGAAACAGCTTAACGCTTAGCGCTTAGTAATAAATCTGAGTTTCCGTTGTCAGTTCTTCTATCGATCTCGCATCTTGAACTTATGTGCATGCATGCCTGACGTACGTTGTCTGCAAGTTCGTGATCGGGATTCCCACTAGTCAATTGTAACCTCGCCCACAAACTTTGGAACGCACGTTGAGCAAAATTTCTGATTGATCGACGAGTCCTTTAATTTAAACCGTCCAAGCACGCCGTCACTCAATGAACCCCCTCCCGAACTGGAGATAAATCCAACGCCTACTTCGACGTCCCCTGCAACTCCAAAGCCTTCTCCACGCCCCTCCTCAACGTCTCGACATCGACCCCATCACCCTGAAGCGACCCTGCCACTCTCTCAAACACCCTCGCGAAGCCCATAAAGATATCTGCTTCTCCCCCTCCTACGAATTCTGCGAGGCCTTCCATCTCTGCTACGAATCGGTAGGCTTTCGGGATTCCTTCTGGGACTGTTGGGATGAGTCTGGACATTAGGGCTGGTTGGGAGATGCTCAGTTCTTTCATTAGGGCGTTGGCTGTTGCTGGTGAGGAGCGGTGGGCGGCTGGGGTGGTTGTTTTGATTATGAAGAGGTGTGAATTTGGGGTGGAGAGCAGGACTCACTCAGCATCATCGTCATGAAGAGGCCTATAGAGCCTTTCTTCATCATCTATCACCACCACGACCCTAAGCCCTGCTCTCCGTATTACAAAACAGGAACGACTCACAGACTCGCAGAGCTTCAAAGAACTCGCATCGCCTATTCCAGCACCTTCGCCTTTCAACAGTGATACTTTAAGTCCGTACTGGGACAACGCAGCAAACTCCTCCAACACGTCTTGTGCTCCTGGTTCCGAACAGGCGTAGAAAGTGGGATCCCATCCTTCTCGCGGCGGTGTGCCTACGATCCCCGCATCGATGAATCCCACAGGGGTCCCACTAAACAGTCCCCCGATGCGTTTCACCGTTTCGGGGTTCACAGCGTTACAGTCGACAAAAGCGCGCAGGGGAAGGGCGGAACTGGAATGGGCGCCGAGTGTATTGCGAATCTTTTGCGCGACCGCGAATGCTTCTCCTGGAGGCACGATGCTTAGTATGAAGTTTGATTTGGAGAGGAGGGTTTCGAAGGGGAGGTTTATCATTCCTGCGTCGAGGGCGCGTTGGTGGGCTGCGGGTGAGCGGTTGTCGAGGTTGGTGTAGACTGTGCATCCGGACTGGACGAGACGTTTGGCTATTGCGGAGCCCATTGCTCCTGCTGAGATGACAGTGATGGCTGGCATTGGTGGAGGCGGGTCGGGATCTTCGGTGGTCGTTTTTTGGAGGAGGGCTCAAGTTGTGAGGCTGTTGAGCTTATTTATGGCCAGGTTCGTATAATCATCGTTCCGTGGTTTACATTGCGGAGGTCCGTAGTGTGGTTATTTTTGATTTTGGTTGGTGTTGTCTTGATTTAGACGCAAAGTCATTGAGGGTTTCGGTGCGCTGAGGAGACATAGACGCCAGGAGCGTTTCGGGAATAAGCGGAATCCCGGTAAGTAAATAAGTACTTGGGCTGTGTCTTCATCTTGATGAGTCACATCTTGGGAGGACATCCAGGAAATGGACACTCTGGGGCAAAATCTGCGGCGGACTCTGGGGCCAAACTCTGGGGCATCTGTTTGTTTCAATCGGAGTTTCAACATCATACGCCTGACATACCACGTGATCCCCGCCACCCCGCCGTCAGCCGCACCGATGCGATCTCTGTCAGCCACCACCACAGCCACCCCGCCAGATCATTTTGCTGCAGTGAAGATATGATGAGGCGGACACGGGCGTGCAGGAAGAGGGCGGGAGGGCTGGCGGGCGGGAAACACAGGAAGGGGGCAGATAAGAGATGGGTAGCGGGCATGGCATTGTCATAAGGTAGACTTGGGGCGGAGCATGAATGCATTATTCCAACAACAGCTGCATACTGGCAGGCAGCGGCGAGCAGGCGGGCAGGCGGGAGACGCTCATCAGCAATGAGCGGGCTTTGTCATCAAACGGTGTTTAAACTCAGCTGTACTCTGCCTGACTTGCCGCCGATGGGCCCCAGAGTCTGCCCCAGATTTTGGCCCCAGAGTGTCTAAATCCCTGACATTCTGCATCTTGGAGTCCTGAATCCTGAATCCTGAATCCTGAATCCTGTTCTCTATTGACGTTTCGATGCTGTAATGATATTGTATCAACCAATCATTGCTTCTGAATCAACTTAATAGAAGGTCAGAGTCTACTAAGAGAAGCTGATGCGTGGAACAAAACAGGCGAGGAACACGATGCAGTCGGATGGCATAAAGTCTATGTCTACTGCCACACCCCGAACGGTTGGTCCACCTTATTACCTGTTTAACATTTGCACCTAGTATCTGCACACACTTGCGTCGCTGAGCGCTGATACTTGGTATGTCGGGGACTTGTGTATCTTGTCGATTGAATACTTGCTCGGGCTGTTGCGTGCCGACAACTAGTACATCCCCCCCTTCAGCGCACTGGAACTCCGAGGCCCCTTTAAAAAACACGCACAATGGATTGTTTGCTCTACGCGCATGTTACATCATGCATGGCATGCTGGTCATGATCCACATCGTCCTTTTTATCTTTTATGTCCTTCAATGGGAAGACTATGCAACTTTCTCTTTCACATCAACAAACAGTGATGTCTGGTCTGCGGTGCTTAGTGCCTCACTGCAAGCGTTTTATACTGTACGTGTCCACGATATCTGCTGGTATCCCAACAATACACTAATGATAAGATTTGATCCAGATATACACTGCTGTTCTGCTCTTCCTTACCCAACGGCTTGCAATTTCGAGAACGCTCGTGCGCCGTGTGAAGCTGACGGCTGTTCATGACATCTCTTGCGCATGGGCGGGCCTTGGCTCTGCACTCGCTAGCGTCTGGCGACAAACTGACATATCCGCCTCACGGTGGACAACCTCTGCTGTGGCAGCCTACCTTGCGAGCATAACCGTGTTACATATCACCTCTTCCACTCTCCTACAATTTCAATCCTGGGCGTCAGAATTCAATACGAATAATGACTTACTGATTCCCACAACACTAGGATGGCCACACGATTCATCGTACGGCAGTTTCACAAACCTAGGACCCATTGCTGCATCCCTACCAGTCATCAATCATTTTACTGGACTGGTGTTTGCAGGATTATCAAACACGACACTCTACGACACCCTTACACCCTACAACCTTACAAATGGTTATGCGATAGGAAATGTGACTGTGAATGCGACAACAGTAACCTCGAGTTGTGGATTGATTCCAAATGTGACATACTCTGCGAATACCAGTACAGCAATCCTTCCGTTTGGACGAGATTCTTTTGTGCTTAATATGAGCATTCCGAGTCTTTGTTAGTAGTTGTGGTTGGGGTGATATTTTATCATGCTGAAAATATCTACAGGGTCAGACCAGATACATATAATTCCATGGACGGAATATGAAGATTCTGATGGTGACTCGGAAGACTCGGAGGTAAGCGTTCACTAGTTCGTGCTCACTATAGAAGCTGAGTAGCAATGTGACTCTAGCTCGATGGTATCTATATTATGGTCTCCACATTATTGGGGATCGACCCTTCAGTACAAGATGAGGTCGCCGTAAACATGACTTGGGGTACGTTTGCTTAGTTTTAATACAGTTATGATAACAATATGTTCTGCAGCTATCCCCGACATTGTCACTCCATACGTCATCCAGGTCTATTTTGTATATTGCTCGTTGTCGGTGAACACTTCAGATGGGGTGATCGATGCGATGAGCAACAGTCTACTGAGTTCCGCGTCCATATCGCAACCATCTATGCAATGGGAAATGTTTTCAGACTATCAACTTGAATTCGGGCGGTCGAATACTAGTGGTTGGAAAACACAAGTGCGTTATACGGCGCTCGTTTTGAAAGTTCAATGACATACGGTCAATTTTAGATCAGCAAGGCTTTGGCTACGAACTACAGCACCGGGATGGTGTTTGAGGGTACCCGCTCGCAAATCATTGAACCCTCTATTGTGGACGAGTAGGCCGAAAGTTTTCCTTGAGTGCACTGCCGCATGTCTCACGTACGGCTTGAACTCTAGGTATATCATGTCATTGGTAGGCTTGAATCTCGCCGAGGAATATATACAATTCCGAGCCCACGGTGCTCTTCCGATTTCTAATTTCACTTTGACGCCGGATGAACTAGAATTTGCGGTTACGAAAGCAGCTGCACAACTCATCTGGCTAGGTAAGGGATACGTTCAAGTATTATTTCGTTCTTGTTCATTCTGTGATACGTGCTTAGCGGGACAAATGGGCACAGCCAATGGAGGAATTGACCCTGGCAATGGGTTGGCTCATGCCACCCTAGCAGCCGCATTTTCCATAACTACCACCCTACAACTCAATGTAAGTGAACTGCACAAATGCTGTTTTCAAATGACTGATGGAGCATTGTAGATCAACCTTCTTCCGGTGAGTTTGTGGTGGTATACATACGATAACCATTTATCGAAAATTGTTCTAGTTGGCTTTCGCGGCTTCTGCGTCGGTGATCATGTTGGGACTGGCTCTACATATGACCCGAGCATTCGATGCATCGCACGACAGACAGGCCCGGGCTGCTATCCAAAACATAGGTGTACTACAACTCCTATGGTTGAGTCGTCGTTCAACCTCTATTAATGAAGCCCTGGAAGAAGTGCAACATCCGACAGAGGCCAATCTGCGTCGAGCAGGCATGATAGATGTTTGTTTTGCGCAGATAATACCCGACGAAGGAGAGGTAGAAAGTTCAGCTGCCACCGATAGTCTCACTCGTGATGTCGACCACCGTCGTGATGATGAGGAATGATTTGGGTTTGGGAACAGAAGGGTGGAAGGCCGCTGCTTGTTTATACTATATGTTGTAGTTGCCCGTGGTTCATGCTGCTCTGGCGCGGCGGTCCGTATCATGGTTGTTTTGTTTTTGGTGTCATCTGTCAATGTATTTCTCTTAATAACGACTACTACATGGTGGCAGAAATGGGTGCGTCACAGATATCATTATCATGCGGATGGCGCTGGGTTGCTTCTTTATTTTGATTCGCTACGGATCGGTAGGCTTTGGGAATTCCTTCCGAGATTGTTGGGATGAGTCTGGGCATTAAGGCTGGTTGGGAGATGCTCAGGTCTTTCATTAGGGCGCTGGCTGTTGCTGGTGAGGGGCGGTGGGCGGCTGGGGTGGGAATTTGGGGTGGAGAGCAGGACTCACTCTGCATCATCGTCATGAAGAGGCCTACAGAGTCTTTCTTCATCATCTGTCACCACCACGACCCTAAGCCCCGCTCTGCGTATTACAAAAAACGAACGACTCACAGATTCGCAGAGCTTCAAAGAACTTGCTATTGCAGCACCTTCGCTTTTCAGCAACGATACTTCAAGTTCGTACTGGGACAGCGCAGCAAACTCCTCCAACACGTCTCGTGCTCCTGGTTCCGAACAGGCGTAAAAAGTGGGATCCCATCCTTCTCTCGGCGGTGTCCCTACGATCCCCGCATCGATGAATCCCACAGAGGTCCCACTAAACAGTCCCCCGATGCGTTTCACCGTTTCGGGGTTCACAGCGTTACAGTCGACAAAAGCGCGCAGGGGAAGGGCGGAATTAAAATGGGCGCCGAGTGTATTACGAATCTTTTGCGCGAACGCGAATGCTTCTCCTGGAGGCACGATGCTTAGTATGAAGTTTGATTTGGAGAGGAGGGTTTCGAAGGGGAGGTTTATCATCCCTGCGTCGAGGGCGCGTTGGTGGGCTGCGGGGGAGCGGTTGTCGAGGTTGGTGTAGACTGTGCATCCGGACTGGACGAGGCGTTTGGCTATTGCGGAGCCCATTGCTCCTGCTGAGATGACGATGGCATTGGTGGGGGCTGGGTCGGGATCGATCATCCTCGGTGGTCGTTTTTGGGAGGAGGGCTCAAGTTGTGAGGCTGTTGAGCTTATTTATGGCCAAGTTCGTGTATCATTAATATTCATCATTCCGTGGTTTACACTGCGGAGGTCTGTACTGTGATTATTTTGTTTTTGGTTGGTGTTGTCTTGGTTTAGATGCAGAGTCGTTCTCGTGCAAGGTCGAGTATTGAAATATACTCAGCTGTGATACGGACCCGGGCGGAAACAGTGCTCGTTTTCTTCTGAGCTCTGGTGCGACATGCGGTACGGAGTCTAGTGTATTATATAATATACTTAGTACGTTAAGACTCACCACTGCCGAACCCTACAACGTCATCACCGGGGACAGGGAGTATGTGATTGTATCGAGGGCCGACGGGGACTTATATTCTAATTTTGCACACCTCACGAAAAACCCTAGTGTAGAATTTGACTGAAATAAGTCAATGTAGGTGAGGCGAATGGACGTGCCCTCATAGAAGACTGAGGAAAACGGAATGATAGCGTTTCGGGAATTGGCGGAATACTATATACGGTAAGTTTGCGGTAAGTAAAGTACTATGCGATGAACAGGGTCAGTTCTATTGACGTTTCGATGGTGTAACAATATTCTACTAACCAATCATTGTTTCTGAATCAATCTTTTATAGAAGCTGAGAGAAGCCAATGCGTACGTGGGCGAAGGTCACACTCTCTCACCACGATGCAGTCGCTCCAGGTGGTTCACCTTATTACCTGTTTAAAGGCCTCTGCACCTACTAGCACTTGCGTCGCTGACACTTGGTATGTCGAAGACTTGTGTATCGTGCCGATTGAATCCTCGCTATTGCGTGCCGACAACTAGTCAATCTGATCCCCCCTCAGCGAACCGGAACTTCAAGAATGCCTCAAAAAACACGCACAATGGATTGTTTGCTCCGCGCGCATGTTACATCCTGCATGGCGTGCTGGTCATGATCCACATCGTCCTTGTTATCTTCTGTGTCCGTCACTGGGAACACCGTGTAACTTTCTCTTTCACACCAACAAACAACGACTTCTGGCCTGCGGTGCTTAGTGCTTCACTGCAAGCGTTCTATACTGTACGTATCCACAGTGTCCACTGGTATCCTAACGATATACCAATGATATGACTTGATCCAGATATACACGGCTGTTCTGCTCTTCCTTACCCAACGGCTTGCGATTTCGAGAACACTCGTACACGGTGTGAAACTGACTGCAGTTCACGACATCTCTGGCGCATGGGCGGGCTTTGGCTCTGCAATCAGCAGCATCTGGCGACAAACTGACGTCCCCGCCTCGTGGTGGGCGACTTCCGCTGTGGCAGCCTACCTTGCGAGCATAACCGTGCTGCATGTCACCTCTTCCACTCTCCTACAATTCCAAACCTTCAATACTTCTATGACGACTCAGGTGTCAACAACACTAGGGTGGCCAAACGATTTATTGTATAACGACACTCTCACCCTGGAACTGCAAACCATTACCCCATCCCTACAACTTATCAATCAGTTGACTGGACTCGTGTCTGCAGGATTATCCAACACTACGCTCTACGACACTTCCGAAATAAGCGATATAGTAGGACATGCAACTGTAAACGCAACGATGGTAACCTCGAGTTGCGCATTGATTCCAAATGTGACATACTCTGCAAATACCAACACGGTGATCTTGCCATCTGGGCCAGATTCTTTTGTGCTTCATGCGAGCACTCTCGGTTGGTGGTTGTGGTTGAGTCGGCATTTTATCATCTGACAATGTCTATAGGGCCAGACCAGATACATATAATTCCATGGGAAGAATTTAATCAGACTTCCGGTCACTCCGTCTGGGAGGTAAGTGTTTTTGGAGATACTTTATGTGGACTGTAGAAGCTGAGTGATAAATCGGCTCTAGATCAATGGTATCTGTCTTATGGTCACCACATTATTGGAGATCGACCCTTCAGTACAAGATGAGGTCGCTGTAAACATCACTCGGTCAGTTGAGTGTGCGTCTATTTTGTTTGTTTGTTTGTAGTGCAACCATAATTACAAAACCTTTTGCAGCTGATACCATCGACTACGTCAACCAGGTCTATTTTATACAATGCTCGCTGTCAGCCAACACTACAGATGCGGTGGTCGACATGCAGACCAACAATTTGCTGAGTCCTACACCTATATCGCAGCCATCCACGCAATGGAAAATCAATCAAATCGAGTTGTCGAAGAATTGGCAAGCACAGGTGCGTTATATGGCGCTCATTTCGAGGGGTTATGAAAGTTCAATAACATACTGTCAATTTCAGATCGGCGGTGCTTTGGCTACAGATGACAGCAGCGAGATTACATCTAGTATTACACCTTCACAATTCACTGAACTTTCTATTACGGACGAGTAGGCCCAAAACTTCCTTGACTGCAATGCCGCATATCTCACGTACTGCTTGGCTTCTAGGTATATCATGTCATTGGTAGACTTGAGCACACAGACATATTTAAAATACCAACTCGATCAACCTCCTACATTCACTTTGAGACTGGATAAACTAGAATTTGCGGTTGCGAAAGCAGCTGCACAACTCATATGGCTAGGTAAGGAATGCGTCTAAGCATCACATCGTCCTCACTCATTCTGTGCCCCATGCCTAGCGACACAAAAAGGCCAAATCGGTGCAGAAATTCACACTGGCATTGGGAAGGCCTACGTCAACGAGATGTTCATTGCCCTACGCCTCAACGTAAGTGAACTGCACAGATGTTGTTTTTGATTGACCGATCGAGCATGTTGTAGATCAACTTTCTTCCTGTGAGTTCGTGGTGGTATATTTGCGATGACTATTTATCGACAATGGTGTAGTTGGCTTTCGCGGCCTCTGCATCGGTAATCATGTTAGGACTGGCGCTAGATATGACCCGAGCATTCGATGCATCGCACGATAGGCAGGCCCGGGCTGCTATCCAGAATATAGGTGTACTGCAACTCTTGTGGTTGGGTCATCGTTCAGACTCTGTCAATGAAGTCCTGCAAGGTGTGCAGGATTCGACAGAGGCCAGTCTGCGGCGAGCAGGCATGGAGGTAGATGTCTGTTTTATGAAAACAATATCCGATGAAGAAGAGTCTGGGAGTTCGACTGATAGCGATAGTCTCTTTTGTGATGACGACCACCACTGTTGTGATGATGAGGAGTGATTTGGGTTTGAGAATGGAGGGGTGGAGTGCTACTGCTTGTTTATACTATATGTTGTGTCTTTCCGTGGTTCATACTGCTCTGGTGCGGAGGTCCGTACTGTAGTTTTTTTCTGGCGTTGTTTCTTGATCTAGACGCGAAGTTGTGGTTGCACACCACTAACAGCGCTCCCTACTATACCATGTGATTCGCTCGTCACTTTAACATACCTTACGGTCTTTCGTTTCGACCCGCGCTCCGTGCGACGTACTTACTTCACGTGCTACTTTGCAGATAAAACCTATAAAAGCCCCAGTAGATAGTTAGGTGTTCTTGCAACCAAGCTATTACCTGGTGACATTACTTGTCGTCTTAAGTCTTTTTCTGTGTGTCCTCACCTCAAGTCTAAGCACTTCGAGCTGTCGTCACAGAAGCATTTCTCTCAACGACTACTACATGGTGGCAGAAATAGGTGCGTTGCAGATCTCATTGTCATGCGGATGGCGCTGGCTTGCTTCTGTACATATTTTGAGTGTCTTCTTTATTTCATCGAGTTTGATTTTAAGTATACTTTACACAAGTCTAATTGGTCGACACATTTGAGCTTCAATATTTTTACGTGCGGGCCTACCTCCTTAAATTTCTCTTGTCTGTTGCCAACGAACGATATACACTCCGATCTGAGCGCTAGGCTTGCGTACATGTTGAGAAATCCCTGCCCCATCTGACGGAGATTATTGTCTATGTCTGACTTGAAAATGCGATAGTACTAGTTAGGATCTCACCGTGGCCCATGCCTCTTCTCATCTGCTCATCGTCGCGTTTGGTATGTAGACGAGTTTGAGTACTTGAGTTCTCAAGTCCTCATCTTACCTGCTCGTCGTCTTGTTAGCGTTTAGCTTTCGTCACCCACTTTATTGCTTCCCTGTCCTTCGCTGATATACTAGACTCGTGACCAGCCCTGAGCCTGACTACACCTCCTTGGACCATACGCTATGGTAGATTATCGCACATAAGGAGTGCTACAAGCAACACTAGAACTGCTAGGTCGATTGTCATGTATATGTAGGACTTTGTTATGTAGGACTTTGTTATGTAGTCTCGACTCACACGTCAAGACGTTCTGGGAACATCGGAAGCATCCGGTCTAGACTCTAAAGCGCCTAGAAAGTGTTTGGCCGGTTGTGAATGTCAGAGTTCTGGCTGGAAAGCTCGTATACCTGTTTTGCACCGATGGGGACATTCCGTCGCAAGTATCAAGTATCTGCCAATTACTTTGTGTCAAGAAGACGGTAGACTCGGACTGCCAGCTTTGTATCTCAAAATGCAAATCACGGGCATCGTGGTGAGTGTCGCAACCTCCGAGTCAGTATCGATGACATTACTGCTAATCTTCACCAAGATAACACCATGCGCTGGACGAGCTACAGTGTGGATCACGGGTACGTCGTAGTGCGTACTATCTGTACATACACTTCTCCGCACCCTTACACCCTGGCAGGTTACATCGAGGGTATCTCTGATTGCGTTCTCGAGCGAGATGAGGAACGACATGCCATCTTCATGAACCGTATTGCCGAGATAGCTTCAGACCCGAAAATTCTGATGTTCGGTGGAGCGGGGCGCTCTGGCAGGACAGGACAGGAGTGGCACGGGTCCTGGTGCGGTGGCAGGAGTCCTGGCTCGTCCTCGCGTGTGTAGTAGTAGTCTGTCCTCGATAGACAGCCGTAGCCTCCCGCCATAGTCGGAGGTCTGGCCTTGGTTCCCTTACAGTCCGTGCCCGTTCCATCGGTGACGAAGCTTAGATAAGTACAGCTGAGGATACTGACTCGGATAATCG